GTTATCCTGTCAGATAGAGTTGAACTCTAAAAACAAAATGATGGAGTAGTGATTAACGGAAAATAATAATAATCATAATCAAAGTGGTGAAAAAAAAGGGGGGGGGGAAGGGATTCCCTTAGTGCATCGTGAATGGTGCACAGTGATGTGCCGAGGTGCAGTGACTGGGAATCCCCTCGAAAAAGATCCGACGCGCGTTTCGGAGTGGCAAACTCCTTCGTCAGGGATAGGAATTGCCGCCCAAACACTCCCTGTATTTAAATCTCAGATAGCCAATCATCACGTCGTTATTCATGACGTAACACTATGTTCACCTACACTCTGTAGGGGGGTGGAGTTAGTCGTTATTGACGTCAGATGATTGACTGGCTGGGCATCCCTCGTGTGGAGATAAACCTTCTGAAGTGTTAAACTTGTCTGGAACGCAAATGGTTTATTGAATAATCAAATGGTTACAGTTTGTCCGTATTTAGTGAGCCATAGGTAAAATATATAATACAATATTAAAACCTACAGCTCTGTCTTTCCAGATATATAGTTGGAATAACGGACTATTTGTATAAATCTAAAGTTAACACTAAAATACAGAAGGTGAGGGATGACATTCGTTTACTTGAAATATAGATATTCCAATTAAAGTGGATCTTACTAATATAGCTCACATAATTTAAATAGACATAGTTAAAGTGATAGACTGTTTAAATTAAAGGTAAAGTTGCTATTCAAATTTATTTGGAAAATGTATCATCCGAAGAGCTCACTTGTATTTTATAAGTGGAATATCTTAAAAACCAAGAAATGACAGCCATCTTAGGGGATAATTACATCTATCCATACATAGTGAACCCTCTATGGAGATTAACAAAAATAGAAAGGAGGGGGGGGAGGGGAAATGGACGGCAAGTCATTGGGACAATTAATGTCCCTCTATTAACACACATAGTAAAAATAAAATAGTGAAAATTCCCTCAAGAAGTGTATATGCAAATGACTAAGATAAGTAATTGGACTGTTTTTAAGTGCACCGGAATTAAATGTAGAGAGACTTCTAGATAAATGGAGAGTATGAAAAACCCTCATTAAGACCGTTGGGGGACAGAGTTTTAAGGCGGTAGATCCAGTAGCATTCACGTCTTCTCAGACGTTGATCCCAATTGCCCTTCCTCTGGTCCTGTTTAATTAATTCGATGCCTTGGAATTTGAGGACATTCGAGTCCCCATTGTGAGCTAATTTCACATGTCTAGAAACCGATGTTTCTATGTTCCTGACTGTTTTTATTGAATTTATATGTTCAAGAATTCGTTTCTTGAACGGTCTGAAGGTTTTGCCTACATACATGATGTTACATTGGCAAGTGATTAAATAAATCACTCCTTTTGAGTTGCAATTAAAAAATGAGAGTGATTTGAAATTTTCTGTATTGGAGCTATTATTGAAATTTTTGGAGTTGGTATTAATGTACCTACAGGCTTTACGCCTGTCACATTTATAGGTACCTTTAATTTTGCCTGACAGCCAATGTGTGGGTGATTTATTAAGCTGAAAATGTACCAATAAATCTTTCAGGTTGTTACCCCTTCTAGCTGTCAGAGTTGCATAGGGGGGGAGGACGTCCCTAAGATACGTGTCTTGTTTTAGTAAAGGCCAGAAGCGATTCATGATTGTTTTCACTTGATCCCAGCCGGCATCAAAGGTGGCAATACACCTAAGTTGTTTTTGTTCGACTTTCAATGGTGTTAAAGAGGAAACTTATTTTTCTCTTAATAAGTCTCCCTGTTCAGTTAAGAGAGCCCTATGATATGCCTTCTTCAGGCATTTATTGGGGTATCCTTTGGACCTAAACATATGGCGCAGTTCTCTTGCTTGTATTTTAAAATCTTCCAAGTCTGAACAATTGCGTCTTAAACGTAGGTACTGGCCCGTTGGTATTCCCTGTTTCTGCTGAGTTGGATGATGACTTTTCCAATTCAGAAGGTTGTTAGTGGCTGTGCTTTTCCTGAACAGGTTTGTTTTAATGATGCCTTGTTCTTGTGGAGATACCATGAGATCAAGAAAGCTTAGAGACGGGGTGCCAATTTCGGCTGTGAATTTAAGATTCAATTCATTTATGTTCAGATCAAGTGTAAATCGCCTGAACTGATCCTCTGACCCAATCCAGATGATTACAATATCATCTATGTATCTTTTCCATAGATATATGTACTGGGTCAGCGGGTTTTTAGGGGGAGATGTAAAGACTACTTGCTCCTCCCACCATCCCAGGTGCAGGTTTGCATATGAGGGTGCACAAGATGTCCCCATAGCAGTCCCCTGCACCTGGTGGTAGTACACTCCATCGAACAAAAAGAAGTTGTGTGTTAAAACAAATCTTAACAGGTCCAATACTAGGTCGCTATGTTTGTCTAGGGGCATCCCTCTCCTCCTCAAAAAATGTTCTGTATGTTTTATTCCCAAGGGGTGTGGAATTGAGCTGTATAATGATTCTACATCCAAGCTACAAATGATAGAATTAGGTGGTAATTTAGTTTGAGTCAGAACTGCTAGGGTTTGTTTGGTGTCTCTCAAATATGACGGAAGCTGTATAACTAGTGGTTTCAGAATGTGGTCCAAATAGACACTAACATTCTGAGTCATATTGTTGTTACCAGAGACAATCGGTCTACCTGTCAAGGTCTTCTGTTGTTTGTGGATTTTGGGTAGGCTATAGAAGGTCGAAATACGAGGACTATTGATAGCCATAAAGTTATATTCATCCTTAGAGATTAAGTTGTCATCTAAGCCTTGTTGTAAGATGCTTTTTAGCTTATCGGCGAATATTTTAGAGGGATCTTGTTTCAAAATTTTATAAGTCATTTGATCTGTAAGTATCCTTTTATTCATTTCCACATATTTCGGAGTGTCCATTATAACTATATTTCCCCCTTTATCAGAGGGCTTTATAGTTATTGTCTGATTCTCTTTTAATGTTTTTACTGCTTGGTATTCCAATGCAGTTAAATTTGAATTTGGTTTATAGCTTGTTTCATTAAATGCAACTTTTTCAATCTCCTCACATACTAACTCTACGAAAGTCTCTACATACTTTGAATCTCCTAATTTAGGGCAATAGTGACTTTTGTTCTTGAGATTAGTCAAAGGGTATTTTGGTCCTTCAGTGTTGTCATTCTCTTCCAGCAATTCTGCTAAGATCATGGTCATACGGTAATCTTTGAGTTCTAGGCCTAAACTTTTGGCTTTCTTCTCTTCATTCAGGAGAAAGTTTTTATGTAGAATGAGCTTTCTTGCGAAAAGGTGTATATCCTTAACCCAAGTGAATTTATCAAAGCGTGGTATGGGAATGAAAGACAGACCTTTTGCCAACAGATCTAATTCCGATTGTGTGGGAATATAGTCAGATAAATTGACAATTTGTCTGTTCTTCAAAACCGGTTCTTTCTGTTGTATTGTTTTTTGGATCTTGACCTCAGGAAGGGGCGATTGTCCCCCTGTGTATGATCTAAAAAAGTCACTCCTCTCTTCAAAATCCCTCTATTATTCTCATTAGAGGTAGAGGGGGTTACTGTTGTATCCGTGTCTGATCCACTGGACTCATATTCAGAGGTTGAAGCCTGATCACTATCGACCCTTCTTTTTTTATTATTAAACCTTTTATAGACGTTCCCGGTTTTGAAGTCTTTATGATCCCTTAAAAATTTTTTATGTTTCCTTTGTTTTATAATGCTTTGGTATTTCTCTAAATTAGTTTGTAGTTTATTCTCATTTGGGCTAAATGCTGGATCTGTTTTATGTTGTTGAATTTTTTCCACTTCACTCTCAATCTTTTTTTCAATTTCTGTTAGTTTTTTATTCTCAAATTTACATATGATCTGCATAAAGCATATAGAACACTGGCCTGCAGCTTCCTCCCATTCTTTGATGAATTCTTCTTCATCAATATGTGAGCTGGGAGTGGTAGCTATTCTCAGTCCCCTTGGTATTAAACTCTTTTTTAGATAGTTTTCTAAAGATGCTATCTCCCAACTAGACCTTATTTGTTGCTTATATAATTGTGTGAGGGAATTAAAACCTGATGTCATAGAGTAATTTAAGTCATCTGGTTGCAAATCGGATTCTGAGAAGATCAATTCAGCGTCTTGGCACCATTTGGTGGCATTGGGTTTATTAGCTAGGAAGCCTGCCATAAGTAAATGATTTAGATATAAAGAAGTCTCTCTTCTGACCATGTAAATGGGTCTTAAACCGTTTAATAGTAATCAGATATAAGAAACAAAAGTTATTTTTCCTTAGTCCTAGATTCACAAAATGTTAAATCTATGATTAGGAAAAAATTGGTCAGAATGGGTGGTACCAGCTCCACCTAATATGGGCATGAACCCTTTATTTATAAAAGATAGAAAACACACACGAAATGCTCTGATTATTCCTCTTTAAAAGGAGAGAGGAAAATACCAAGCAAGCTGGTAAAAGTATAAATTATAGGTGCACATTAATATTATGCCTAATAAATCTTAGAATCTAGAGGCCAAAAGACAGGAAAAAAGTCATCATCCAACTCAGCAGAAACGGGGAATACCAACGAGCCAGTACCTATGTTTAAGACGCAATTGTTCAGACTTGGAAGATTTTAAAATACAAGCAAGAGAACTGCGCCATATGTTTAGGTCCAAAGGATACCCCAATAAATGCCTGAAGAAGGCATATCATAGGGCTCTCTTAACTGAACAGGGAGACTTATTAAGAGAAAAATAAGTTTCCTCTTTAACACCATTGAAAGTCGAACAAAAACAACTTAGGTGTATTGCCACCTTTGATGCCGGCTGGGATCAAGTGAAAACAATCATGAATCGCTTCTGGCCTTTACTAAAACAAGACACGTATCTTAGGGACGTCCTCCCCCCCTATGCAACTCTGACAGCTAGAAGGGGTAACATCCTGAAAGATTTATTGGTACATAGCCATTTTCAGCTTAATAAATCACCCACACATTGGCTGTCAGGCAAAATTAAAGGTACCTATAAATGTGGCAGGTGTAAAGCCTGTAGGTACATTAATACCAACTCCAAAAATTTCAATAATAGCTCCAATACAGAAAATTTCAAATCACTCTCATTTTTTAATTGCAACTCAAAAGGAGTGATTTATTTAATCACTTGCCAATGTAACATCATGTATGTAGGCAAAACCTTCAGACCGTTCAAGAAACAAATTCTTGAACATATAAATTCAATAAAAACAGTCAGGAACATAGAAACATCGGTTTCTAGACATGTGAAATTAGCTCACAATGGGGACTCGAATGTCCTCAAATTCCAAGGCATCGAATTAATTAAACAGGACCAGAGGAAGGGCAATTGGGATCAACGTCTGAGAAGACGTGAATGCTACTGGATCTACCGCCTTAAAACTCTGTCCCCCAATGGTCTTAATGAGGGTTTTTCATACTCTCCATTTATCTAGAAGTCTCTCTACATTTAATTCCGGTGCACTTAAAAACAGTCCATTTACTTATCTTAGTCATTTGCATATACACTTCTTGAGGGAATTTTCACTATTTTATTTTTACTATGTGTGTTAATAGAGGGACATTAATTGTCCCAATGACTTGCCGTTCATTTCCCCTCCCCCCCTCCTTTCTATTTTTGTTAATCTCCATAGAGGGTTCACTATGTATGGATATATGTAATTATCCCCTAAGATGGCTGTCATTTCTTGGTTTTTAAGATATTCCACTTATAAAATACAAGTGAGCTCTTCGGATGATACATTTTCCAAATAAATTTGAATAGCAACTTTACCTTTAATTTAAACAGTCTATCACTTTAACTATGTCTATTTAAATTATGTGAGCTATATTAGTAAGATCCACTTTAATTGGAATATCTATATTTCAAGTAAACGAATGTCATCCCTCACCTTCTGTATTTTAGTGTTAACTTTAGATTTATACAAATAGTCCGTTATTCCAACTATATATCTGGAAAGACAGAGCTGTAGGTTTTAATATTGTATTATATATTTTACCTAAGGCTCACTAAATACGGACAAACTGTAACCATTTGATTATTCAATAAACCATTTGCGTTCCAGACAAGTTTAACACTTCAGAAGGTTTATCTCCACACGAGGGATGCCCAGCCAGTCAATCATCTGACGTCAATAACGACTAACTCCACCCCCCTACAGAGTGTAGGTGAACATAGTGTTACGTCATGAATAACGACGTGATGATTGGCTATCTGAGATTTAAATACAGGGAGTGTTTGGGCGGCAATTCCTATCCCTGACGAAGGAGTTTGCCACTCCGAAACGCGCGTCGGATCTTTTTCGAGGGGATTCCCAGTCACTGCACCTCGGCACATCACTGTGCACCATTCACGATGCACTAAGGGAATCCTTTCCTCCCCCCCCCCTTTTTTTCACCACTTTGATTATGATTATTATTATTTTCCGTTAATCACTACTCCATCATTTTGTTTTTAGAGTTCAACTCTATCTGACAGGATAACAGTGTTTAGCTCAATTATTTAGCTTAGAACACCCACGAAGGTGTTTATTAGCAGAAGTGAGGGTAATAACGAACTACCTAGCTTAGAACACCCACAAAGGTGTTTATTAGCAGAAGTGAGGGAAATAGCATTAGAACAGAGATAGTTTCTTTCGCTATATCAGACTTGGATCTTACTATATATCCTGTCTTTGCTGCCTCTCTCCGCTTCTTAGACACTTACTATTTCTATCTATTCCTTCTCCATATGAGCATTTGGTCTAATATCCTTCTAGATCCATATTGTACAATTTCGGTGGTTATATTTTCCGTACTGATTATTCTATCGAGACATCTGGAGGGATTGCACTGTTTAGGGGATTTTTTTACCTATAGCATTTTGAACAATGGATCTGTTCATGCATTAAGATTAGAGATTATAGGTAATTATAGGAATCAGCGATTTTCTCATTGTTGATACACAGTTGCTTTTGTATCTCTTTCTCCTAAATAGGTTAATAAAGTTGTTACTTCTCTCAGTGGACCCAGAGATACTCTTTATGCACTGTATCAACCATATTCAGCTTTGCTCTACAAATTGTTCCTATTCCCCATTTTTCCTGTCTTTTGGGCTCTAGATTCTAAGATTTATTAGGCATAATATTAATGTGCACCTATAATTTATACTTTTACCAGCTTGCTTGGTATTTTCCTCTCTCCTTTTAAAGAGGAATAATCCGAGCATTTCGTGTGTGTTTTCTATCTTTTATAAATAAAGGGTTCATGCCCATATTAGGTGGAGCTGGTACCACCCATTCTGACCAATTTTTTCCTAATCATAGATTTAACATTTTGTGAATCTAGGACTAAGGAAAAATTACTTTTGTTTCTTATATCTGAATAAAATTTAAATTACTCCTGTTTCTGGTGCTCCTCCACATTTTTTAAATGCCATTCGTTGTAGTGATTTTGCGCTACCTGGCTAAATCTTTCGATATGACTATGCCTGTTAACTCTCCAGACGCAAATTGCCTTCTTATTCAAATCTTTTTTTCTAAGTTTCTAAAAGTAGTCTAAAATCTGGTGGTGGTGGTTGCAAATGCTTTTAAATGCTTTTCACAGTAGTGATTTTGCCCTGCCTGGGCTTTCTGGTTTTGTGGTGTGACTATGCCCGCTACCTCCACAGATGTAGTTTGTATAAGTTGACAGGGCACTGTATTTTTTTTCCATGATTAAGGACAGTCACACATCTGTGTAAACGCAGTTTACTTCTCATGGTGGAATTGGTGGGTTACCAAATTGCCCATTCACTTTTTCCTTTCATTTTTTAAAAAAAGCCACTTTTATCAAATTAAAATTACTCCTGCTGCACCTCATTTTCCATTAAAGCAAGATTGCAAAGGGAAAAAGCAATCATTATGAAACTAACTGCTGTCACTTAATATTCTTTTTAATACAGATATATTTTGTCAACTCAATATTGGCATTGCAAAACTGCCTGATAATGCCTAGCCATTAGGTGAGCCATTATATGTTATCCATTTATGCATTGCAATACACAAATCCTTTTATTGTCCTATTGGTTCCTTTTACCGCCCTATCGGTTCCTTTTACCGTCCTACTGGTTCATCAAAATTGTTTTTCCACAAAACAATCGCACAAATGAAATTAATCCAAACCAAAATATCATGTGAATTCATTATTGTTCATCCAACCCAAAAATGTTTTGGATGAACCAGTTTCTTTCACTGTGCACAAGTCTAGGTTATTTTGACATCGATTGTGACTGCAAGAGTATATCTTGAGACTGAGAAGGTTCAAATCTTGAACATTCAAGCATTGTGTTTTTGGATATCTTTCTAATCTTATCACTCCAGGTACCATATAGATACAATATATCATGGAGGTATGGCAGGTAAAGTGCAAGTTTAAACAGATAAACACACTTCCAAATCAGCTTCATAAATTAGACTAGTAGAAACAACAAAGACATATGCCTGTATTAATAATGTAATCATGCATTCATCCTCTAAATGATGGATTATGGAGAATAAACAAGGGAATTACGTTCCGTTAGGTTGAAAAATAACTGAGCTGAAGAGATTTTCTGATTTGGTTATTCTGGCCTTAGATTTACAAGGCCATTGCCTGTTCTCTTTTATAATATTATATTATGGTATAGCCTAACAGAGAATTCCACATCTTTATTACTATGACTTTCAGGATCCTCCTGCAACATTTTGATTTAAGGAGTTGGTGAAACTCAGTGTCATAGGACAATAACGATTACTGAAGTTTTAAGTTTCCATGCACTGGCGGAACTACCGCTGTCTCACTCCAGGGGGCCCGGCCGTCCTGCAGACCCCTGCGACCGCCAGGGCCGCATTGAAGGGGCCCATAGGGTGGCCAATGCTGTTAGGGCCACCCGATGGCAATAAATATCCAGGGCAATGAATATCCAGTGCTGCGGCGCTTTAACAGCACGACCATGCCCCCTGTGATGACATCAGAACTGGGAGGAAGTGACTGCCCCGGTCACTCCTCCCAGCTATCAGAGAGAGACGCGCGGGAGTAAGGAGAGGGAGTCAGAGTGGAAACTGACTCCCATCAGCCTGAGCCACCATTGGACCCCAGGGAAAGTCACCCTCCTGCATCTTAAAGGTAGGAAACAGAAGGATAACTAAAACATTTTGTATGTGTGTCTCTGTATGTGTGTCTGTATGTATGTTTCTCCAAATGTGTGTGTGTGTGTGTCTGTATGTATGTTTCTGTGTGTGTGTGTCTGTATGTATGTGTGTCTGCATTTGTCTGTATGTATGTGTCTCTAAATGTGTGTGTGTGTGTGTGTGCTTGTGTTTGTGTGTGTGTGTGTGTGTCTGCATGTGTTTATATGTTTGTCTGCATGTGTGTGAGGGAAGGGGGGAGCATATAATGGGAGGGGAGAAGTAGACGTATGGGGAGAAGTAGATGTATGCAGGGGTAGACCTATTGGGGGGCCCAGGGCAATTTTCGCACCAGGGCCCCTTGGTTTGTAGTTACGCCTTTGTTTCCATGTAAACCATAGTCATACATTATAGTTCCTTCTTTGAAGGAGTTACAAATAAAATCAGTTGATATGCAAAAAAACAAAAACAATTTTCATTCTTCAGCCCAACTGATTGAAGAACTTTCTTGTAGGCGTCTTCTCTTTATGTAGGCTTTTCCCACCTTGAATACTCGGTAACAGTAATCTGGTTGGCTACTTTATTACAGGCACTTTGAATTCATTCTATCCTCCTTACAAGGTTCTATTTTGTTCATCTTCGGTCAGAGTGCACAAATTTGCTTGGAAATTTTTAAAAGAGTCTCCTAGAAATAACCCTTGCTAAATTAAAATGATTTATAACCAATTAAACATTTTTACTTTATTTACAGAAACATTATTGCTAGTGATATTAGTCACAACTTGGTTATGTTAGCATAAATTGTGCCAATAACAATTTAATTTTATACAGTTTACAGTTTGCTAAACAAAATGTATTGCTTAGCTTTTATCGAACATTTCACACAATCCATCATGTTTGGTAAGGTATGCACTGTCATAAGCCTATGATATTGTTTGGAACAATGTAAAAATGGTAGTAAATGCAAAGGTGGGTTTTGATATCCTGTGATATTTTGTCAAATCAAAATCAATTCACATTAACCCGTTAACGCAATTACGCCGTTCTATGCCGTCCCGCATTAAGTGGGCTTTAAAGCCGTTGCGGTTGCACAGAACGCCCCAATGGCTCCGAGACCATGGAGGTCCGCGGTACTCACCTCTGCCGCGATCCTCTTCTGGAGGGCTGCCTGACAGCCCAGGCAGCCCTCCCCCGGCAAATGAGGCCCCCGGCCCCAAAGAGCTATCACATGGACCCCTATAGCTGGCTGTGGATCTGCCAGCAGGGGGACTGTCTGAAATGTCAGACAGTCCCCCTGTTGGTGGGAAAGTAAAAAAAAAATGATTAGACATGTTATAAAATAAAGTAGAAATGTATTTATATATATATAATATATGTGTATATATATATATTATATATATAATATATATACATATTATATATATGTAACATCATACAAAGTGTATTTTAATATTAATATAAGTACATATACTAGTATTAAAATACACTTAGAATGATGTTACATATATATAATATATATATTATATATATATATAATAGATATATACACATATATTATATATATACGTATAATTACAATAATAAATAAATAAAATATTAAAATAAATAAAATATTGAAACTAAATTTAATATAAATTATATATTCATATGTAATTTCATTCTAACTGTATTTTGTTATTAATATATATATATATTGGTAACAAAATACACTTAGAATGACATTCTATATATATCTATCTATATATAAAACACAAATAACTGCAAATATATATATAAATAGATAAATACATATAATTACATAAAAGATTACATTAGTATACACGTAGAATTTAAATACCTATAAATGCATATATATTAAAATTCGACATGTATATTTAAGTAATCTTTTAACATAATTATGTGATTTGATTAATTAAAATTTGATTGACATGCCTGACAATGCAGGGAGAAAGTGCAGAGAATTTAATTCGCAAGCACTATATTTGACCCTGTAATTCTCCAAGACACCATAAACCCTGTACATAGGGGGTACTGTTTTACTCAGAAGACTTCGCTGAACTCAAATATTAGTGTTTCAAACTGGTAAATTGTATTACAACGATGATATTTTAAGTAAAAGTGAAGTTTTTTGCATTTTTTACAAACTAACTGCTTTTTTATGGACTATATCATTGTTGTAATATGTTTTACTGTTTTAAAACACTAATATTTGTGTTTAGTGAAGTCTCCCGAGAATAACAGTACCCCCCATGTACAGGTTTTATGGTGTTTTGGAAAGTTGAGTCACATATAAGGCTTGCATTTCATTTTTTTTACATTAAAATTTGCCAGATTGGTTATGTTGCCTTTGAGAGCGTATGGTAGCCCAGGAATGAGAATTACCCCCATGATGGCATACCATTCGCAAAAGTAGACAACCCAAGGTATTGCAAGTGGGGTATGTCCAGTCTTTCTTAGTTGCCACTTAGTCACAAACACTGTCCAAATATTAGTTTTTTGCTTTTTCACACAAAAACAAATATGAACGCTAACTTTGGCCAGTGTTTGTGACTAAGTGGCTACTAAAAAAGACTAAACATACCTTTCAGTACCTTGGGTTGTCTACTTTTTCAAATGGTATGCCGTTATGGGGGTATTTCTCATTACTGGGCTACCACACAGTTTCAACGGTAACATTACTAATCTGGCAAATTTCAATTTGAAAATAGAACGTTCTATATTTAACCCTGTAACTTTCCAAAACACCATAAAACCTGTTAATGGGGGGTACTGTTGTACTCGTGAGATATCGCTGATTACAAATATGTGCATTGTTTTGCAGTAAAACCTAACATTATTGTGACAATCACAGCTAAAATGTCAGATGGAAATACAAATTTAAAAAAAAATCTTATTTCCTCACATTTTTTTAAATTGTATTCATAATAAATTATGTTCCATGTATGAATAATTAATGCTAAATTAAAGCCCTGTTTCTCCTGAACAAAATGATATATAATAAGTGTGGGTGCACTTAATGTGACAGCGGTGAATTACGGTTGAACAGACATATAGCGCAAATTCCAGTTTTTGTTTACGTTTTGTTTTGATCAGAACGTGTACTATTGACTCCGTCCTGAAGGGGTTAAATGGAGAGATTTAATAAGCCAGAAGCAATTTTCTTTTCTAATTCTTTATTCATAAGCAAGGGATGATACATAAGAGAGCCTTTGCAAACATCTCACAATACAATTAGAAGTATTATATAATTCCTTTTAAGAAGCCAAAAGATATGTTTCCATCATTCTCGTTTTACCAGAAGCTATTTTGAGGCCAAGCGCTAAATGTTGATGGACAGTCTTTTGGTTTCCATGGTTACTGCTCCTTATTTAGCACTTTGCTCCAGAATAGCACTAGTTTTTTGCCTGTATAAATCTCTTCCACTGTCTACAAATTGCAAGTGTATTTCGAAGCTGCGTAGTAGACAGTCACAATGAAATAAACCACTTGGTGTTCGCTGCATTAGCCGTAACTTCCTTCTTTATATTTTGTTTGTAGATGGAGCAGACATGTGAAGAGATCGATGCAATGTTCAGTAATTTGCTGGGAGAGATGGACCTATTAACCCAGGTGAGCATTACCAACATCTAAAACCATTTAGAAACAAAAAAAAAATGGCCTTGAACGAGTTTTATTTTCTATTCATCCCTAGTACTCCGCTCCATGCAGAGAATTTCCAGACTGTATAAATATTGACAAAGGGGGATTTTCAAAGGGGAAAAATGGTTTCAGTCTGTTTGGCATCCTTTCCAGAGTGTTTGAGGAACAGTCAGTGTGACATCATACCAACTAATAGCACAGAACAGCTGCATCTCTTTGTAAGAAAGGGTTTTACTCTAAACTCCATCCAATGTCTATAAAGCCTTAATCCAAAAAATGTCAACACATATTGTTCGTTTTTTGTTTTTTTTTAATAATGAAAATACTTGAAAATAATTTGTGTGTAGCTGTCTCTGCGTGCTTGGCCACGTTAGTTTCAACACAAGCTTATCAAAACCATTTCTTTAAATGCATATTTTAATTATTTTTTTATAGTCAGTTGGTCGTTTTTCTCTGCAATTTTCTTTTTTTAATTAAGAAGGTGATTTTTTTTATCCCAAAGAATCTAATTGAACCAGATTGTAGCAATCGTGGTGCAAAGAGCTACATTTAAAGTAGTCACTAGGAGACCAAAAGGAATGCTTGTTTTGAAATTCAGGAGGCATGTACAAACAAACTGCACATTAATTAAAGGTTAATTAATGTTTATTTTGTTACATTTAACACCAATAGGTTTTATACAAAGGTCAATAGGAAGAGGTAGCTCACTACGTTAATTGAGCTGAATTTGAGCTAAAACTTAGCCAGCTTGTGAACTGAGCAGGGACCTACCAAATGGCAAACTGTTGTCCGTTTTCAGAATTCTTTTACACCCTGTTTTTATTTTTTAACTTTTACTGAATGTTTATTAAAAATATTCAGACGCACTTGAAAAATAATTAAGTGAAACTTAAGAAAAAAATGATATACATAATATAAATACAAACAAAAGAAAAGAAAAAAAAGAGGACATCATATATACATGAAGAAAACGAGTATGTGCTTAGACGTATATAATTATAATACATCAACCTATGCGTCCTGTAAACAGTGAGACTAGTGGAGAGATTTATCAAAGTGTTCTGTTCTAAAACGTGGTACAAAAATTTGAAAGGGGAGGAGTTCCAATGGAACATGTTGCTGGTTCCGCAGGATTCCGTGATGATTGCCCCACTTTTGCTACTTTATCCCACTCTTCACAACAGAACACTTTGATAAATCTTCTCCCATATCACCATACAATATATATCTACTACTAAAAAATAAATTGCTAATATATCATCACTCCTCACAGATACTGGTGTAGAAAAAAAAGTAGATTTAGATCAAGTCAAGATTGCTTGTGCAATCCCATTGTAATTCTGATGTATTTAGTTTGTAAATTACCCAGAAACTACATTGAACCTAAAATGCATTGCATCAGTGCATATCTCTACTAAACATATTTGGCAATAAAATAACAGTATCTTAGCTAAGGTGTCTTTAAGCCAATATAGTTAAAACACCAGTAGAGGCTGGTCCATGGGGCTGATGTGGCAGCGCCCCTAGTGTTTGCTGCAAAAAATAAAATCTAATCTATTGTAGGGACTGATTAGAAATGTGTGTTAGAAAATATCTGTCCGGATTATATACAGTTTTCTTTCTCTCCTCTATTGATGACTAGAGACACAACTGGTTTTGAACAGGGTATCTCATGGGGTTAAGCGATAAGCGTTAAGACCAACAAACTTAGCCCCCTAAAACATCCCCAACGGTAACTTCAAAATACAAATAAAAAGTATGCCCTGTTTCAGTAACTAGTAGTAGTTCTAAAGCAAAATAATACACTTGTGTAAGTATAATCCTGTATACACAAGTGCAGGGGTGTTAGTTTGATGATATTTTCAGTCAATTAGTGAGGCAGACGTTATTTGATCAAGTTATACGTATTAAACTGAGAAAAGACAACAACCAGAACAATGGCAACAATTATAAAGAAGTCTTGATTGTTATTATTATTAATCTTAATTATTATTAATCTTATTATTATTATTTTATTATTTATATAGTGCTATCAGATTCCGTAGCGCTGTACAATGGTTGGACTAACAGACATGTAATTGTAAACAGACAACTGGACGTACAGGAACAGAGGGGTGGAGGGCCCTGCTCCATGAGCTTACATTCTAGAGGGAGTGGGTTGTTATAGCTTGTTATTTATCACAATGGGGGTTACATTGTTGCAGGGGGTTCAGGAGTATATTTGGGTCACAAAAAAAAATATTATTTCAAAAGTTTTACCAACAATTGTACCTCAGATCAAATCAGAATCTAATGAGAGTTTTAACTCCACGTGAGCCCCATCATCTCCCTGACATCGCCAATTCTCTCCCCTAGTTAATTGTTTGTGTCTTTTGAAATCAAATAGCAAGTCTTTAGTAATTGTTACATATACTCAATTATATTCACCAAATAGAAACACCTTTAGAATATTTTTTTGCTTACCAATAATTCCTGTTGCCATTTCTCTTACTCTACCTTTCATTCACCAAGTAAAAATCTCCTATCAGATCCAATTATTTTCAAATAATAATAAATAAATACATGATAATAATGATATACCTTGTGTTATTAACTGCCCTCTATGTTACTGGCAAACCACACGTTACTGTAACCACATCAAAGATAAAGAAATGTGTGAGAAGTCTGGCAGACGTCTATCTCTGGAGCCACACCTATTCTCAGTAAAATCAGATTAGTTATATACATTAAACACATTTCTGCCTGGTGTAAATGCTGAGGTTTTTTGTATCCAGATACAATCTGATAATGGCATTGGCCAGTGGCTACCACACCACTTCTCTGTAGACAAAGATAATATACACATCTGTTAAGGCTGGAAACAGCTGGAGATCAGGATACAGAAATTGGTAAAGGCTGATAAGTTTAGCTCAGTACAGGGAAAGACAATCCGGGGATGTGGTCAGAACAAGATGATAAGGCCCGTCCATGGAGCTTAAGTCTTTAGGCGATTTAGGCAAGCAGGAGGTACAAACATTTTTATCAGGAATAATGTCACTTTAGCTACAGACTGTGTTCATAGGTAGCAACAAAACTGTATACAAAGGGTAAGGGAAATGTCTGAGCCCTGAGAGAGGCTACACAGTGTTTTAAAGGAGGTACACCCTCCCTATGTAACAACCCTGGCATTGGAACAGCCCCCCAAACCACCCCCTAATTCCATAAAGTGTGACCTGCATGGTGCGTGCACACTTCAGGGGACTTGGGAGGACAAAATCTCACCGGCCACAATGGCTGGTACACTCTGGCTTAGTTGTGAGAAGCTTTGTGAAAAGCTATGGGACTCAAGAAACCACTCTGACCAACAAGGAACCATAAAGACTGGGCCTCACCGACTGTCGGTAGATCAGCCTAGGAGAGAGGAGGATCACATGGGAAAGGCTAAAAGGGAGGTGAGTCCATGATAACATCTGGCGTCCAAATAACCAAAGGCGAACCATCATAGGTTCATGTGAAAAATATGACTAGTAACTGCGATAGGATCTGATAAAATGGCCCATCAAATGATAAATGGTGGAGTTCAACAGGGCAACAAGTAAGGGCTGGGCATTGGCCATTGAGAGGGCCTGACTTTGTCAAACTGTTTGATAAGTTATTTGACAGAAAGCAGGAAAACTGCATCCAAAGACTATTTCGTTTTAAAATTGAACAATAGCATTAAACTATAATTCTTTGTTTCTTATTTGCCGTTTGTCTTCCATGCCTTTTGAACCCTTAGTTTGTTTGAAATGTGAAAATTACAGAGCAAACCTTTTGTGCCCATTCTTTAATAAATATTATGTAATGGTTTCCCATTCTTTTTACCTTCAGAGTCTGGGGATAGAAACTCTTCCTCCTGCAGCTCCCAGAGATATGACATCAGAGATGAACTTTTCTATTGGGTTTAAAGATCTCAATGGTAAGTTTATACATTCAGATTATGTAAACGCCATATCATTATATGCATGGTTTAAATACCGTATTTCACCGCAAAATAGCTGCAGCCGGGTTTTTCAATCAAAAAATTGGTTCATATCCAACTCATCGCATAATTGTTGTTGCTGTTTTTGTTTTGAGACATTCCTATTCTTGAAAACTTATGGCAAATATCCTACTGATCTAATGCTTACAACAGGATTTACCACAAATCAGATTATTGTAATTTAGTACATTTTATATTTATGTAATGCGTTAGGAAATGTGCATGTTCATAGCTATAACAACAGGACAGGGATTAAGATCACAATTGGGAGACAGGGATCAGGATCAGATTTTAATGCATTAGGAAATATGCATGTTCTCGGCAACTGTGTTATCAGCCACTATAATGTTAAAAAGCTTCAAATATTGGTAGCATATAATTTTGTGCAATAAAAACAAAGCTTTGCATAATTTTCGCATATAATATTGCAAAAAATAAAGCTTCACATAATGGTCGCATACCGCATAATGGTCGCATATAATATCGCAAAAATGAAGCTTCATATGGTCTCACGCTCATTTTTAAGAAAAAGAATTAGGCATAAAATCTACAACGATCATGTGGTGAAATGCAGTATTTTAAGGTACCGTGTTTAATATAACCAGAAGTATAAAAGGGACATGCATCACTTGACAAGTATTTATTGTTTTCATATTTTTTTACATTATTTATTTTTATTGTGCAAAGGAGAACAAACAGGCTTGTGATGCCATGGCGGCATGGACTAGCGCATTTCAACCATGCATGTAATGATATTGCCATGGTACATGAGATAATTGCACATTTTTATATTAAGTATACAAAGGTTTAATATATTGTGAGAATGTACTGGTTTTGACTAAGAGTAAAAAAGGTTAACTACCTTTTGGGTAAAAACACGCTAAAGAATAATAGAATATAACGATGTGTGATCAACAAGGTATTTTGGGAACAATTATTTTTTGAAAAGGTCAGGTGACACTCTCAGCCACTCAGTGACTTCCCATTCACAAAATGTACCTTTCCAAGCATAGACATATATATTATAATATATATGTCTATGTTTCCAAGCCAGATTTGTGAATAGGTAGTCACTGGGGACCTAAAAACTGACATTTCAGAAGCCAGGTGCCATCTGCAGGGGAGTGGAGATCAGTGCTGCTGGCAACTTTGGGGTTAAACTGTTTGAGAACGGTTTATCCCCTTGAAGTAAGAGTGCCTCTGGGGGCCTCCTGGCACCATAACCGCTTCATTTAGATTAAGTTGTTGTGGTGCCTGGAGTGTTCCTTCTATGGAGATCATGATGACATATGTCAAACATTTGTATTTATTCACTAAACACCAAACTGTAGTGCATTGAAAGTTGGAACGCACATTCAGACAAAAAATTGCTGATTTGAAAAGTTCTTCAACTCCGCTATAGTCACAGTATAACTATTGAAGCCTAAATTTTGCAGTTTAGTTTAGTTTTCAATTCACTAAATTTCACTGTTTAATATCGAAATTTTAAACATAAAGCTTGCTTTGTTTTTTTTTCACAGAATCCTTGAATGCTCTTGAAGACAATGATCTGGATGCCTTAATGGCCGATCTGGTAGCGGATATTAGTGAAGCTGAACAAAAAGTCACCTCTCAGAACCATAAGAGCTCATCTCATACAGATACCAATGCTAGCGCTTTATTTGATCTTCATTTTTGTGACACCCTGACCGTTTATCCTGCAGAAGACTTCTCATTTTCACCACCTCCACCACCCCCTGAATGTGAACCGGACCTCCCACCTCCCCCACCGGATCCGCCATTACCGACTGCTCAGGTAACACACAATGCGTTGATTAGGATTTCGTTGTATTGACTGGTTCATACATTTTAGGAAAGTCAGTCCCGATGATGCGTTAAAATGTGAATATTTGGAAATTCAGTGTGAATTTAACACACATTTTATAAGTTTTTTAATTTTACAAATATTTCATGTCATCTATGCTTTCAGTTTGAATATTTTGGCCTAGAATCTGAAATTTACTCTGAATTTCTGAAATGTTTTTGTGGTAATTAGTAAGACATGGTGGAGAAAATGTAATTTCTTATTTGTGTTCTTTTTTCCTTAGTTTTTCTCTCTTAAGTCTTGATTTTTCTAATTTTTTATTTTGTTTGTGACTATTATATCATTGTCACTCCACTCCAGTTAGTTACACCAGCACCAGGTGCCAGTGCCTCCCCTCGTTGTGCTCTAGATAGTCTGCCCAGTTATGTCAAACCTTTTTGTTTTTTGGTGTTGATTGGTAAGTCATAGCAGCAGCAAGACAACCCCAAGGGGATGTAGCTTCACCTACTTACCCATCCTCACTAGATATCATTTACATAAATATTGTTTGCCCATTATCAAAATTGGATTGTATGAAGGAGATAAGTTCCAAGAAACATCAAAACATCAGTTAAGGAAAATTCAGATGTAAATATGATTCATAAAATATACAAACCAGTAATATCCATGCATACCATTCATTAAACAATGTGCGTATCATAACAGTCAGCACCAAACTACAACTCTTTGATTCTTATTGATGGCGGCCATTACCAAAATGTTTTATTAACGTAAATTATCGCATGCATACACACATACATGTATACATACATAACATCAAACATATGAACCTGTCATTTGTGCTTGTCTATATTTGTTTTAGGAAGCTTCAGAGTCTAAAGAAAAGGTTGATAAAATTAAACTTGCTTTGGGCAAGATGAAGGAAGCTAAAGTTAAAAAGGTAAGAATGGACCGTTGGCTGTATAACTGTTGCGATTAATTAAGAATACTCTAATAAATTCCCGCAATGTTCATTTTAACAAAGAATACTTTTTTTTTTATTCTGAAGATCAATGTTTTGCGCAATCTCACAAAGATATGTTTCATAACTTAGAATACGCATTGGCTTGTGACTGAGTCTTAGCATGCACAAAGCATTTAGAAACAGATTAAGATAAAGTGACGTTTAGGGGTACCAAGATTCCCCAGCTGCTGCAGAACTACAAATCCCAAGATGCCTTGTAGACTTTTGCACAGAAAAAAAAGTGTTTCGGCCAATAAACTACATCCACACAATAACATTTTTTTTTTAAATTACTTCTGCGTTAGCAAAAAAAGATACGGAAAACAAATCAGATGAACCAAAAGGTTGCAAAAATGGGCCAGCCACTGTACTGGTAAATATATACTTATTATAAATATAATGTATATAATTTGCAGTATAGTAATAGGTTAATTTTCCTGCTATTTGGTTCACAGATCAAGTAAGGAAAATTAGCCAATAGAGGAAAATAGAGAAGGTGTTATAATAAAAATCTAAATGTGTATATTATATATTTATTAAATGTATAAAATATAAATATCGATTTTTTTTCTGCTCTTACTTTTTTTCTTCTGTTGGTCACTGAATAAAATAAACATTTAGTGGCTGTCTCCTAGCCGCTATTTTCCTCCATCAATCGTACCCATCACAGGTGGAATTCCAAATCACACTTAACCAAGGAGGTCATTGTGATCAAAGCCCCCTGTTCATTTCACATGTGAGCTAGAGGCGTGAATACCACCAACCCACCAAATAACCTTCACAGTCTCACTTAAAATGAAATGAGAGGAATGAATAATGGGCTTTTACTCCCACATATAGAATTTGGGCAGTCCCAATCTTGCTAGGAAACCAGCGGGTACCACTAGAGGTGTAAATACACACAGATACATATGTCATAGGAATTGTTACTGGTGGATTAAAAAATGGTTGCCTAAAGCTCTGCAAAACCCAGAGGAATGCCTAATGTTTTTTTTGAACAGGTTAAAGGACCACTATAGTGCCAGGAAAACAAACTTGTTTTCCTGGCACTATGTAGTCCTTAGGTTCTCCCCCTCGCGCCCCACCCTCAGGGCCCCCCTCGCGCTGGATTGAAAGAGTTAAAACCCCTTTAGCCACTTACTTTTCTCCAGCACCGGGCTCCCTCGGAGCTGGGGAGCTCTCCACCTCCTGCCGACGTCAGAGCTGAATGCGCATGCGCGCCAAGAGCCGTGCATGCATTTAAACCACCCATAGGAAATCATTACTCAATGCTTGCCTATGGACGTCCAGCATCTTCACACTGTGATTTTCAGAGGGAGTATCACGGAAGCGGCCTCTAGTGGATGTCAGTGAAACAGCCACTAGAGGCTTGATTAACCCTCGGTGAAACCCTATGTTTTCAGCTGCGGGGTTAAAACTAGAGGGACCTGGCACCCAGACCACTTCATTGAGCATTGTGTTCAATGCCAAAATTACCTTTTGAATTCTCTGTATTATATACTTGTTAAAAAAAAGGAAGTAGCCCTCTAGAATGTTACCAGTTATTAGATTTGCATAAACCCAGTGTGGCCATGTATAATCCGGGCACAATAATGTACCAGTGTCTCTGATAGTTTAAAGCAGAAGTTAAATTAGAGAACTAATGTAACAAAATACTGTACATAAACAGAAGATAAAAATGAAATGGAATCATAACACTGAATTATAAAAAAAACGAAATGAAATGGTGATGATTGTCTAAGTGCTCTAACATTTAATTCAATAAAATGCAGCATTTTCATACTCATTGCCAAATATATATATACAGTTGCAAGAAAAAATATGTGAACCCTTTGGAATGATATGGATTTCTGCACAAATTGGTGATAAAATGTGATCTGATTATCATCTAAGTCACAACAATAGACAATCACAGTTTGCTTAAAGCGGCACTGTCATGCCGAATCCCGTTTATTTTTTAACCCCCCTCCCGCCTCCACTACATCCAATTGACCCACTAGTCACCCCCAAATGCCCCTAAGCCCCCCACATTACCTATTTTTTAATCCTTATTTTCTGCCCCGATCTTGATTCAGGGCGCCGCCATCTTTGTGTGGGTAGGTGAAGTCCCTGTGGGACACGTCATCAGCCCACACTAGGCAGACACTGAGATTCCCGCACATGCCCAGTGAAACACCTGGACATGCGAATGGGAATTTCATCTATTCATTCATTCATCAGACAGACGAATGAGTGAATAGAAATATCAGCCGAACAAACTAACACTATGTATCAGTGTTAGTTTGTTCGTTCAGTTTATTACAAGGAGGGAGCTACCGTCGTGCAGCTCCCTCCTTGTAATATGTAACTATAGAAGCTGCAGGGAGTAGTGCTCCCCACCACTTCATAATCCCCCCCAGTACCCCCTCTCACTCTATGGGGGTCAATATGACCCCCATAATAGCACAAGGGAGATTAAAATCTCCCAAATGCCCCTACTCTCTATACCGCGAGTAGGGGCATGTCTACTAAACAGTGAGCAGCCTGTGGTGTCCCCCCCTTACAGTTTTATTAGTCCCCACCCAATCACAAGAGAGGGGTGGGGGCTGTATTGTGCAGGTCCCCCCTTATTGTTTTACTGGGCCCCCACCCACCGGCCAGGGTGGGGTCGGGGAGGAAGGTAGTCCCCCTATTGTTTTATTAGGCCTTCCCACCCACCGGCCAGGGTGCTGGGGAGGGACAGTAGGTCCCCCCCTTATTGTTTTACTAGGGGCCCCCACCCAATCAGCCAGGGTGGCACGGGGGACACTGGTAGGTCCCCCCCTATTAGCATACAGGCCCCACCCACCCGCCAAGTAGGGTGGCCAGGGGGAGGGACAGTAGGTCCCCCCCACAGTTTTACTAGGGGCCCCCACCCAATCGCCAAGCAGGGGATGGGGAGGACAGTAGGTCCCCCCCTATTAGCTTGAGGTTAGGGGCCCCCACCCACTGCGCAGGGGTGGGGGCCAGGGGGGGGACAGAAGTCCCCCCCCATATCTTTATTTAGGGCCCCCACCCACCGCTCAGGGGTGGGGACCAGGGGCAAGGTTCCCCCCCATCTTTATTTAGGGCCCCCACGGGCATGGGGGGAGTGGGGGCGGGGTTATTAGTTTTTTGTTTTTTTCAGTGAGCAGCTATAAGCTGCTCACTGCTTACTACACATGCCCCTACTCGCGGTATAGCGAGTAGGGGCATTTAATTTACTAATACTAAGTAATCTTTACTCAGTATTAGTAAATGTGGCTGAAAGACCAATTTAGGTCTTTCAGCCTTTTAGTAGATAGCTCCCTGATACCGTTGGAATTAGGGAGTTATCTACTAAGCGGTTGCAAGATGCAGCCGCGGCAACGAATAGGATCAGAGTTTCATTCATTAGAATGAAATTCCGATCCGAATAAAGTGCCGAATTGCGTTCTAAAAGAAACGAACATACTGTTGTCATTCAGTTAGAACACAATTCGGCAGTTTTGTGGAAAGTGACAGGAAGCATTGTGGGAACACAGAGGGAAGGTAAGGATCATGGGAAAATTGCTCTGACCAGTGGAAATGAAGCACACTTTGCTCCTCCGCTGGTCAGAGCTGGTCAAGCGGAGGAATCCTCCATAAGGCAAAGAGTCCCTACTTTGTCTTATGATTTAAAAGAAAACTAAAGAAGACAGGAAGAAAAGAATAACAGATCCTGAGAGAGGGGGAGAAGAGGAAGAGATTGAGGAAAGGTAAGTTCGGCATGACAGTGCCGCTTTAAACTAATAACACACAAAGAATGAAATGTTGCGATGTTTTTATTGAACACACCATGTAAACATTCACATTTTATTGAATTAAATGTTAGAGCACTTAGACAATCATCACCAGTATATATATATATATGTATATATATATATATATATATATATATATATATATGTATGTATATATATATATATATATATATATATATATATATATATATATATATATATATATATATATATATATATATATATATATATATATATATATACTAATAATATGTACTCAGAAGCAAATATGTATTTTAAATCACCCGCAGGGTTACTCACTAAAGTGAGAATTGTAAATTAAAAGTGAATTTCACATTTAAAGGGACTCTGTAGTCACCTAAACATCTTTAGCTCAATGAATCAGTTTTAGTGTATAGATCATGCCTCTCAAGTTTCATGGCTCAATTCACTTCCATTTAGGAATTAAATCACTTTGTTTCTGTTTATGCAGCCCTAGCCACACCTCCCCTGGCTCTGATTGACACAGCCTGCATAAAAAAAAAAATGGTTTCACTTTCAATCACACGTAATTTACCTCAAACAGTTTTAGCAAGCTATTAATATAGCGGGGGATAAGAAAATCTAAATTAAACAGAACTTGCAATAAAGAAAGGATAAACTTTAGATGATTCTTTACAGGAAGTGGTTAGGAAGGCTGTGCAAGTTACATGCAGGGAGGTGTGACTAGGGTTCATAAACAAAGTGATTTAACTCCTAAATGACAGATAATTGAGCTGCAGGGGCATGATCTATACACCAAAACTGTTTCATTAAGCTAAAGTTGTTTTGGTGACTATAGTATCTCTTTGATGAAGTGGAAACATGGCAAACTGGGATAGTTTTTGCAGTTCAGCTATTTTGGCCCTAAATTTGAAATTCCCTTTTAAATTACCTTGAATTCCTAATTATTATTACTTTATTGAATAACACCGTAACACTGCAGGCCCTTTTAAATAGTCATATACGTCAAGGTAATTTGTGCGTGAATTGTCAGAAATATAGAGGGAATTCAAAGTAAATTTTAAAATTTAGTCTAATTTCTCCAAACAAAACGCATAGCTCATAAAAAAATACGAGATTTTTCAGCTGATCTCGGACAATTCTCTCTTTTCAAAGGTTTAAACCTCCCCTAAAACTGCTGGTAGCACAACTATTTTAATAGACAAACATAATTGACTTGAACTTAAAATTAATTTACCATCTTGTCCTTGCAGCTGATTGTAAAAGTCCACATGAACGACAATAGCACAAAAACATTGATGGTGGATGAAGAGCAGACGGTGCGAGATGTTTTGGACAATTTATTTGAGAAAACACATTGTGATTGCACCATTGAGTGGTGCTTATATGAAATGCTTCCAGAACTCCAAACGGGTAAGTGTTGGTAGTACATCTAATGAACATGAAAATGTATTGTTATGGACCAATAATATTCATTACAATCCTCAAGATCTTTTGGTAGCATTTACTATCAGCTGCTGTGTGGAGAACTCTTGACATTCAACAGATGAGACTTTGAATTTTGGAATTTGCATAATTTAATAAAAACTGATTTAATGTCGCTCTTTAAAAGGTTAAATAACATGATAATTATGTGGAAATGTCCACATTTAAGCTATAAAATGTATGTTGCATTTTGTTCTACGATGCAATTATACACATTATTTCACATTTTGGTTTCCGGAGATGTAGGTATTAGTGTAAAAACAGGGGGCCACAGAAAATGCAGCTGGACCATTACACCAATATGTAGCAGGCGGCACTGAACGTCGTCCACACATTCTGGAATGAAGGGAAGCAGAATATCCCAGCAACACAGGTCGTCCTGCCACACAAGACAAGAGAATGGATGACCAGAAGCACAAGGTTGGATCATCACAAAATATGCATGTCAACATTATAGGTACTAATATACAGCTACCACACCTGGATATCATAAAGCATTTCACTTTTTCTTAAATCTCCATTACATACACTGATAAGCTACAACATTAGAAACCACTGACATGTGAAGTGAATAACATTGATTATATCATTACAATGGCACCTGTCAAGGGGTGGGATATATTAGGCAGTAAGGGTAACAGTCACTTCTTGAATTTTAAATGTTGGAAACAGGAAAATAGGCAAACAAAAAGATCTGAGTGACTTTGACAAGGACCAAATAGTGATGGCTAGACAACAGGGTTAGAGCATCTCTAAAGTGATAAGAAATTTTGAGTGTTCCAGATATGCTTAGTACCTACCAAAAGTGGTGCAAGGAAGCACAACCAGTGAACCAGTGTCAGGGTCATGGGCTCCCAAGGCTTATTGATACGTGTCCATGATGACCTCTGTCCACCACCAAAAGCTCCTTCAATGTGATGTAAGCATCAAAACTGGACCATGGAGCTACGGAAGAAGGTTGCATGGTTTGATGAGCCACGTTTTCTTTTAGAGCAAGTGGATGGACCTTGTTCACCTGGGAAAGAGATGGCAGCAGGATTAACTATGGGAAGAAGACAAGCAGGAAGATTCAGTGTTATGCTCTGGGCAATGTTCTGCTGGGAAACCTTGGGGCTCCTGGTATTCATGTGGATGTTACTTTGACACATTCACCCCTTCATGGCAATGGTGTTCCCTGATGGCAGTGGCCTCTTTAAGCAGGATAATGCACCCTGCCACACTACAAAACTTGTTCAGGAATAGTTTGAGAAACATGTTCAAGGTGTAGCTTTGGCCTCCGAATTCCCCACGTCTCAATTCGATTTAGCATCTATGGGATGTGCTGAAACAACAAATCCAATCAATGGAGGCCCAACCTCACAACTTACAGGAGTTAAATGATCTGCTGCTAATTTATTGGTGACACATACCACAGGCAGCGCCAGATTTACCCTCCTTGCTGCCCCAAGGCCAATTCTTTAATGCACCCACGCCTTCTATATACTATGTGTGTGTGTGTGTGTGTGTGTGTGTGTATATATATATATATATATATATATATATATATACATATACATTGTTTCTTAGAGTGTCCATTTAAAATAACAATATTCACATTAAAGAGATTAAAAATTGATAAAGAATGTAAAGAAAGTAAACAAATTTTATTTCAATGTATTCATAAAGAGTTATTACAATTGTTAGACATGTTGAATGTGATTGTTATATTTCCACAGAGAGATTCTTTGAAGACCATGAAAATGTTGTTGAAATCCTTTCAGACTGGATGAGAGATAGTGAAAACAAGATTGTTTTCATGCAAAAAAATGAAAAATATGCTGTTTTCAAAAACCCACAGGTAAGATTTAAAAAAAAAACCTCCCCAAATTAGGTTTAAAAATTTGAAAGACATGTCATTTAAGTTCTCACTAAAATAATTCTGCCTAAAATTTTCTTATCGCCAGATGTTAAAGCTGAACTGCTACTTCTGAGATTTATGCACAAGCTGATTGCTAACTAAAAGTTAAAAAAAACTCATTAATTTTCATTTTTAATTAATTAGGCAGGTATAGCTACCTAGGCTTGGCATGCAATTAAAAGGGTTATTAAAAGAACGCAATCAAACTGAAATCTAAGTGAATTTCAAATTTAAGATCAAAGCAGCTTTCAGTTTACCTACTCTGGCCTTACATTTGACATTCACTTTGAATTCACTTTGTAAATGAAACCCTGCAGTTCTACACGCATGTGTGCATGTAATAATTCTAATTTTAAGGGAGCCCCGGAAAGTACATGTCTGAGTGCTCTTGCGCATGACTGGAGCATCTTTGGTAGTGAAGTCACAGTAGCACAGAATTGCAGTGGAGGTAAGTGTTTTATTACTTACCTTATGTGCATTATTCACTCCAGTGAAAGCTTCAAGAGCACTTAGTTTATTTTTATTAATTCTAAGAATTCATTGTTAAATACAGTCCTTCAACAATGCATTCACGGTTCCTCCGTAGTCCCTGCCACATTGTTTGTAAATCACCAATATACTCTGTTCGAAACACTCATTCAACAAATTACCATTTCTGTTGAAGCTGAAATACATTTCCGATGTACTTTATTCTTGTATACAGTGGATGGAAATCCTAGACCTTTATACTCTTCAATCTGTAGAAAATGTCCTTACAGCATCATAATGTACTTTGTATTTCCCTGCTCCTTGAAATTCTCCCGTTTGCTACAAGTGATAGAACAGAAGAAAATCCACTTCAATTAATATATATCTCCTGCCAAAAAGGTTTTGCATGCAAACTCCTTGTCATTGTAATAGCTTAAAGTAAAGTATTTATAATGTTAGAGTGTTATGCTGCATATTTAGATCAAAGTCAACATCCCCCCCAAATAAGTAGATTTTGTTTACCATAAAACTCCAGAAGGAAGTGAAGGTATCACTGTGACCACCCCTTCTGTCCAGCAGAGATCATCATTACTGAACATCTCAGGGGTCTGAAGTGCTGAGGGACTAGAGCCCATAAGCAGCAGTCGTTGCGCTGTTCCAAACAGCATCTCCTCATAGAGATGCATTAACTCACTGCATCTCTATGGGGAACATTCAGCCTCTTCACTTTGAGCATGAAGATGTTGAATGCCCGTCCTGCAAAATATATCACTTACATTTATTAAAACGTCATAAAATACATAGATTTAGCATCAAATCTACAGGTGCACTAGATGTTCACGATGACCCTCATCCAGCCACCAAGGGAAACATAATATATAACAAGTAAAGTGACAAATGCAATGAGTCACACAATATGGATTTATTCACTAAAGATCCAGTTGCAATGGCTATCCTACTGAGTTGCAAATGGAGTAAAGACATTTAATTTAACCACACTGTCCAAAATGGTTCAAGTCAACTAATGTTTGACAAACAGCAGTAGTGCTATTACAAATCATTTTTACAACAGCAAGGGTTTTTGGTACAAAACTGTTTTTATTTTTACAGTAATATAAAGAAAGATATGTTTATACAGAATATTCTTTAAATCAAGCAAATGGAAGGAAAAAAAAACCAAAACAGTAGAACCAGATTTACTAGAGGCATCTACTTATATTCAGTATCACACGTGCTTGAGATGCTCTTGCATAGTGTTTGCTGAATATATGCAAAACGTTTTCTTTAAATCAAATGAACTGTGATTCATCGTAAACACAACTGCTGTATAATTAAAATGTATAAAGTTAGGGATAACAAGGTGTAACTTAAATAAACACAAAATAAACAAGAAATGTATTCAACAGCGTCTTACAGAACTTGAAATAGTAGTGTTTGTGCAAATTATGTAATGTTGTTTTGTCTAAGATATGGAAAAATATGCATAGAGTAGGCACACAATGGACAAGAAAGTGAGGATTACAGAGTAATTGAGAGAGCGAGCTTGGTTCCTGAAAGATTGTGGTGAGACAGACACAATAAAACTCCCCCCGGTGCAAATAGAATAATTACTGTTGTGCATCACCTTTTATTGCACCCTGAACTTTGGAACGTCTTCCATTGCTAAAGGTACCTGCAGAATGAAGTCTGAAACATGGTGAAGTCTGAAACAGAAAGCCTGTCTGTGCTCATTTGCATATCTAGGTGGGAACTCTGGGATAGCTGTTGAAATATTATTTCATGAGTTTCTGTGTCAAGTGAAGACTTTCCAAAGTTCATCTTGGGATATGCAGGTGATGCACAACAGTATTTTTTTTTTCTATTTGTGTTTTGGTAAGTTGTACCGTGTTTGGTCTCACCACAATCTTTTTATGACCCTTGTAACCATGGCTTGTTTCTTGTCACAGATCCTATTGGTCATAACCCATGCTTTGATTTAAAAAGAGCTGTGTTTAAAACTGCACCCATTGCTAAAGGTGTCTTGAGAAATGCTGATTGAAGTCTGAAACACAATCTGTGTTCATTTGCATGTCAACCTGGCAACTCTGGGATAGTGGTGGAAGCATTTCCCAAGGAAGACTTTCCAAAGTCCAGCTTGAGATATACAGGAGAGAGAGACAGTGTGTTTTTCACACTGAGAACCTATGATTTCTTTTAACCACGTTTTATTTTTTATATGGTAGCCTGTTGCTCCAATATATATATATATATGTGTTAAAAAGATTGTCTTTGCAAAATTCAACACAATATTGGTTTCAATGCCTTATATTGATAATTTAATTTTTGAAGTTTTAATTAATTAATTTTATTTTTTTTTAAAGCTTTTTCTTTAAAAAAAGTTCATTGGTGCACTGATTGCACAAAGCTTCTTATTCTGATATATAGCTGATGTTATAACCCACTCATAAAGGATCACTATAGGGTCACTGCAGCCCCTTTCCCCCAACAACAGTCCCCCCCCCCCTGGCCCTACTACAGCCCCTGGCCATCTACTACAGCCCCTAACTCCTTAATTACAGCTCCTATCACCCCACTGCAGCCTACTTTCAGTGTGTTCTAAATGCAATCCATTTTTATTTAAAGGAGCACTAAAGGGTTAGGAAAACAAACATGTATTCCTGACTCTATAGTGTTAACACCACCATCTAGCCCCCCTGGGCCCCTCATGCCTCCATAAATATAGCACAATCTTACTGTATTCAAGCCTGAAGCTGTAGATCTGCATGCTGTTTGCCTAAAAAAAAAACAAGCAGTCTGCTGACATAATCAGAAGTGGTAGCCTGATCCAATCACAATGCTTCCCCATAGGATTGGTTGAGACTGACAAGGAAGCAGATCAGGGACAGAGCCAGCATGATTCAAACGCAGCCCTGGCCAATCAGCATCTCCTCATAGAGATACATTGAATCAATGTAAAGTTCAGTGTCTGCATGCAGAGGGAGGAGACACTGAATGTTTGGATGCATTTTAGGCAGCTGTGACCCAGGAAGGATCTCTAACAGCCATCTAAGGAGTGGCCAGTGAAGTTATCACTAGGCTGTAATGTAAACACTGCATTTTCACTGAACAGACAGTGTTTACAGCAAAAAGCCTGAAGGTAATGATTCTACTCACCAGAAATTCAATAAGCTGTAGTTGTTCTGGTGACTATAATGTCCCTTTAAATATGACAGTGGCCTCAGAGTGCTGTACGTAGTGCTTATGGTGCTTCGAATGACCCTATAATGCATTTGTCTGTGTTTATTATATCATTAGAAGACAAAAAGATTTTTGCTCATCTGTTTGGAGGGTAAACATTTCAATTGAAATTATGTTTTTCTGGTATTTTACATTTGAAAAATGGAGTTGGGAGCATTTCACTTAACAAGTTAAGTAATGTTTGATTTATAGATAATAAAACAGCAGGAAATAGATTATGTTCAATAAATGGATTACCAACATATACAGCTTCCTGCATGAGTTCCAGTCGCTTATTATGACAAATGCATCTTAAAAAGAAGTAAAACATGTTACTAAATGTGAGCCCCAAATGTTGATTTGCTTGTGTAGGCAGGTCTGAGCGCTCTCTTCAACAGCTGTAAGTGATCCATCATTGTGAAAAAAGAATAAGTGGAAGTGTGTGTTTTAAAGGTTAGAAATTACATTTTGCATGGTTTCCTGCGTGCAGATTTTGTCTGAATGTAGCTTTCCTTATCCCCTCCACTACTACCTTAGTGACTCATTAACCTCTTCACTGCTGGACTGTTTGTCTGCTGCTGCTGCTGCTGCTGCTGCTGAACCTCATTTTTATCTGCCGATGAACCTGATGGCCACTAAAGGCGTTTACCCCATGAGAACCGAGTCAGACTAGATTCTCAATGAAATGCTCCCTTCTAGAGAGCATTTGATTGGTGCAGTGCAGTGATTTGCTGTGCATGCGCAGTACTCTGCCGATCCTTTCTTAGAGGATGCACTGGATTGACTGAGATTATCACTCTTGATGATCTCAGCCAGAGTTGCAGGGCGGCCGTGGAAATACAAAAACGGTGAGTGAGTAAAGGTAGGTAAATGCACGTTTTAAACTCTCACAAAATTGTGAGGGTTAAACAATAGCAGGATATTTTATGTTGGCATCAGGATTTTAGGGATCAGTTTGTAATAACGTCATGAAATGCCATTGGTATTTAAATGGCAAAACAAGAACTTGGCTACAATGTGCGATGCAAGCTTGTAAGGTCTTGCAATAAATAACAGGGCTATTAATATTAATTCACTTTTTTCCAATATATATATATATATATATATATATTTTTTTTTTTTTCCTCTTATTAAATCATTGATAAATCCCAGTTTCAAACACGCAGTACGGTTTTGCCACATGGAAAAAGTGGACTGTTGAGTTACAAAATAAAGAATGTGAAAGAGTTTACCTGTGGATAAAGGTTAGGAAAGCTACATTTCTTTACAAAGTGTAACGCAAAAAGGGGAGTTTACCCTAACAGGTTGACATGAGAATATCCCGATTAATTACTAAGTGTGCAATTGCAAAATAAATAAAAGCAAACTAATTATCTTTATTAAGTCAAGGAAACTATTCTAAAATCATTTAATGTGAAAAATGTGAATTCATTATCAGTCTAAGGCAATGTCACGTGTAAGTATTTTCATATGGAGCCCAAACCACACTATTAGTATTTAACAATATATAATTGATAAACTGGCTGTAAGAGGTCCATTTGAAACAGGTACCTAATGGAAGGACCCATTCTCTTAAAACCCCATGAGTCTGTTTATATTATGGGTTCCCAGGGCTTTCTGCAGACATTTTGGGGCCCCTTACACTACTCCAGGCCTGGGCACAAGGTGCCTCTCCACAAGTCTGCCCACAGGGCTGACACCAAGTCTGCCTCAAGCGCCCCCCACCCATTCCACCTCCATCTTACAGGCACTTAGAGCTTAGGTAGGTAATGTAGTGTATGTTTGTAAGGGATGCAATGTGTTTAGGGAATGTAGTGTATGTGTATAGGGAATCCAGTGTGTGTAGGGGGTGTAGTGTGTGTATGTGTATCAGAAACAACATATTGTGTGTGTATAGTGGATGCAATGTGTGTGTGTAGTGGATGTAGTGTGTATGTTGTATAGTGGATGCCATGTGTGTATAAATAGTATAATGTGTATATAGTTAATGCAATGTGTGTAGTGGATGTAGTGTGTGTAGTGGATGTAGTGTGTATGTAAGGTATGCAGTATGTGTTTATAGTATATGCAATGTGTATAGTAAATGTAGTGTGTGTAGTGGATGTAGTGTGTATGTAAGGTATGCAGTGTGTGTTTATAGTATATGCAATGTGTATAGTAAATGTAGTGTGTGTAGTGGATGTAGTGTGTATTTAAGGTATACCCCTCAACCCCTCTGTTCCTGTGTGTCCAACTTGTCTGGTTACAACTACATGTCTGTTTGTCCACCCATTGTAAAGCGCTGCGGAATTTCACGGCGCTCTATAAATATCATAATAATAATAATAATAATAAGGTATGTAGTGTGTGTACATAGTATATGCAATGTGTGTGTATAATGGATGCAGTGCTTGTGTGGTGGATGCAGTGTGTTTGTATAATGGATACAGTGTGTGCATAGTGGTGCAGTGTGTACACTGAATGCAGTTTATATAGTCTATGCAGTGTATGTGTATAGTGTACGCAGTGTGTGTGTGTTTGTGTGTGTGAGCAGAGATAGGGGCTGTGTTTTGGGAGAGTGTGAGTGAACCGGGTTATTAATTTATTATTTTTATTTACTTAGTATGTTACCTCTGGCCAGGGAGGGTAAACTCTGCACTCCCTGGTGGTCTGGTCAGTGTGACCATGGCAGAATGCAGAGACATAGTGTTCCCATAATTGTGGCAACACTCTGACAGCCAGGGCTCGGGAGACGACCTGGCGCAAGAGGAGACAGACAGCATTCCCAGGCTCCAGCTCCCTCTTTAAAGCATTCAATAGCTTTATATGTACATATATGTTTTGGTCATTCAAATGTACTACCTGTACCCCCTGATGGCAGACCTGTGTGTTCCCTAATACATGGGACAGGAGAAGTATATGTATAACGCAGGATAAGTAGAAAATGAAAAGGTCACACTAATAATAACATAGTTGAAGTTTAGATAGTCTGGCAGCACATGACCAGAATCAAATAAAGAATCAAAAGTAAGTATATCTATTGTTTATATCTGCAACCAGTCTCAGCCCCCAAAAACACTGAAACACTATTCTACTGGCTTTGTCAGGTGGGATAAATGTGTCAAGACAGATTACCCTTATGGCCACACAGTTCTAAAAAACAAATTTAAAAGTCTGACAAATAGCCCCAAAACAAGAAGAGCTCCTTCTTATCCTAGCAACTAGTCCTCCGATAACTGCCCCACTTCCTAGTACTGGTAACACACTATCAGTAACCCTCTCCCTAGCAGGTACACTGCCCCGTACCACTAATAGGATCAAAATTGCTGCTTTTAATGCAAACAAATAGAGAAGCAAAGGAACCCTATCGATATCATATACCGCGGTACTCCAGAATAATGTATCTGGAATCCAACATAACATAACACACTCCTGACTTTTATATAAGCCCCAAAAAGATGAAAATTGTCAAACAACACTAACCTAAAATTCCCATGCCCTATTGCCCATAACAAAAACCACAAAGAAATGCCCGACGCGTTTTGGAACCAAGCTATGTCTTCATTTGGGGATTAGAGAGTTTCTTTTTTTGCTTTTGCTCCCTCGTGCTGAAAGCAAGGTGAGTAAAGAAGGTTTTTTTTTAACTCTTTAAGTGCTGGGCGGGACCTAATACTACTAGGGACAGGAAAACTGAAGGGCTACAAATACAGATTTGTATTCCTAACAGTATAGCGTTCCTATAATAGTTGATGAAAAGAGATTTCACTTACTGCAGTAAAAAGGATTCTTCACACAAAGGACAGAGATACAGTAACACCAAGGTTTTATATTATCATTATTACAGTATTAAGCCAAGAACAGACATTTGTGATATCACTATCCAAAAATGCATGTCTTGAGCATCCAGCAGTCATAGTTTATAATTTTTCTAAACACTATTTTATGCTGTTTCTTAGAAGTCAGAGTATAATGTAATGGAAAGGCTTCACACATTAATTTTGCCGACAGAGAGTCTGATCGCTTGAAAAAATATTTGAAAGTAGTGAATTCATCCAAACACACTGGAAACAGATGATTGTATTCTTTTCATGCGCAAGATTTGTATTTTTGGAGTCTCTCAATGTTCACTGGAATTCCATCAAAACAATTAAGATGTCATTACAGCCAAGATGTATTCGTATTGATCTTACAGAACTAACTGCTGGAGATTGCTACATTATGTGAGATAATTTGTACTAGTGAAGTGGACACTGTGACAGCTGCAAATAATCAGGAAGCTGATAGGGAAGAATAAATAACGTTTCCATGTAAAAAAAATCAACATTAAATAGAAATTGCTGAGGTATATCATCCAGAGACATATACATTGTTACAGTAATGAAGCTAAATGTTGACAGAAATAAATTATTCTCTCGTTTTGCGGCTCACTTATAATTACTTATATATAACAGGTGAAACACGATCGCATATTAAATGGAAGCATACAGTGGAAATTATGGATTTAGATTATAAGTAAATATAGCATATCTGGTCCTCTTATCCTTTTTGGTTGCAATAAGGAGTTAGCCAGATAGAATGTCCTATCCCAGAACCCTTACTGTAGTTACTTTAATGCAGAGCCAATATTAGATGATGGCTATCTTTGATCTATCAGACTGCGGGATGCCAGGTTTCAAGTTTCAACTGGAGAGTCCAGTCCGTTGCTGACTCGATGTAGCACACAGTGGCGGAACCACCGCAGTCATAGGGGTCACAGCTGCGACTGGGCCCGTCACTGCCGGACCCCAGCGACCGCGGTGCCTGCCGGCTAAGCAACGCGGCTCCGGCCCTCGCAGTATAACCTCTGGGGTCGCATTGTGAAGGGGCCCAATGGGTGGCCCATGCTGTTAAGGCCACCCGATGCTATGTATTTCTAGGGGGCGCAAACCAGGCCCCCTTTGATGAGGTCAAAGGCTGGGAGGAAGTGACTGCCCCGGTCACTCCTCTCAGCTTACACCGGGAGCTGCGCGGTATGAAGGAGAGGAGGGAGTCAGAGTGGGAACTCTGACTCCCATCAGACTGAGCCACTGGACCCCAGGGAAAATCACCCTACTGCACCCAAAAGGTAGGAAACAAGAGCATGACTAGTACATTTTGTATGTGTCTGTATATGTCTGTGTATGTATGTATGTATGTGTGTGTGTTTGTGTGTCTGTATGAATGTTTCTCTGTATGTGCATGTGTGTGTCTGTGTGTCTATGTGTCTGTATGTGTCACATATTTATCCGCTTATAAAAATGTGGTTAATGTCATTTACTGTCCACACAGGAAAAGTTATGCCGAGCAACAACCAAATCCACAGAAGGGTTAATGCTGAGCAGCAATTATGCAAATGGGAACCTGGTAACTGCCTTTGTGGTCAAAGGCCGGTTACAGCCTATCAGGTCTAGAGGAGGGTTATTTAGGCCCAGTTCTCATCCTGCTCAGTGCCCTGTCGTGGTTTCCCTTGTGGTTGTCCAAGAGCGCGTTACTGATTCTGGTATTTCTGGTTATTTGGCTTTGGCATTGCTTTTGACTTCCCTGTTTTCTGGCATCCCTGACTCCTGGCTTTTCCTTATCGTTGTGTCTCTTTCTGTATCTCTTTACCTCGGCTATTCCTGACTTTTCTTTGGTACGTTAGTCCGGCCATTCTAAGGTCCGGCATACGTTACCTATCAGTCCTCTGTGTTATACAATCCTACGTGCTGGATCATTCTGTAATCCTGAAAGTATGTATGTCTGTGTGTCTGTATGTGTTTGTGTATATGTATGTGTATCTGTTTGCATGTGTGGGGAGGGGAGGGGGGAACATATACGAGGGGGGCAGTAGATGTATCGGGAAGGGTGGGGGGGGTAGATGTACGGGGGGTTTGACCCAGTGCAATTTTCACACCGTCGCCCCCCTGGTTTCTAGTTACGCCTCTGGTAGCACATGTATTTACACATATACACTGGTAACTTGTTTTATATGTATTGATGTTTTAGGGAACCAGTTTATATTATAGGTGTCCATTTGTGTGCGAGCAATTTAGCAAGCATAATAAAAATGCATCACCATGCATTGTTATCTCAAGCTACTTATTAGGCTTGAAGTGTTGTAGCATATAACAGTGGGTTCTGAACAAGCATCATAATAATTTATACAGTAATATAATCTAGAACACCGACCAAGGTGGATTGGTTCTGCCTTTTTGTTACCAATCTGGATCCACACTTCGCATTGCTCCATCAATGTCCATTTCCAATTCTCCGATCATGCCTTTGGTTTTGCTTGCACGGTGCACTTTATTGCATAACTTAAAAAAATCTAGATGGCAGAAAAGTCAGGGGCAAGATTAACACCATAAGCACCTCTCAAATATACCAAGAACGCTATCAGCTGTCTACCTCATAATTGTTAAAGTGATAATTATGCACAAATTAATATATAGCAAGTAATGAGTTGTGTTGATTTAAAGCGTCGATATAGCTTCCAGTAGTTGGATTTTTGTTTGACCCTTTGCTGCTTTCATTTTCCATATGTTATAGTGGGTATTTTAATTCCCAGCGGTATTTTTACTGTCTGAGAATTCAGTTGCATTTGTTTGTTTCGAGCAGTGAGTGTTATTTTTCATTTGTTATTTGTTTTTTTGTTTTCTTCCATAGAATTTCTACATGGCACGGAAAGGAAGCAGTGACATGAAAGAAATGAATGAGAAAATTAAAATATCTCTACTGGAGGTAAGAATGATCCAGATGTATGCCGTAGGGAATTGCATTAAATAAAAAAGAAATGTGCATTGTTACCGCCTATAACAATGTGTCTGCCAAGAGTGATGTCTAAATGTACTGCATTTGAAAAAATATTGACAAACACAAATTAAATACTTTAAGGGAAGAACACGTTATATTCTGGAAAGAGTAGACAACAGCTGATCCACTGCCCTAAGCAAAAGGTAACCTTCTGGAGGACCATATGAAGACTTTATCATGCATTTTATTATGTCACTATATTTTACACATCTTGTATATTATTTTAATTGTTTACAACCTATATTAACCATAGTGTGGATATGCTGGGCATATTGCCTATTTTCTCACCTTTATGTCAGAACAAATACAATAAGCTGTACATACAAATACGATAAGCTGTAGTTGTTGTGGTGACAATAGTGTCCCTTTAAGGATACCAAATTAGGGAGCTATCTAATAAATACATACAGATGTTTATACATATACACACACAATCACAGGTTCACGCACACACATATAATCACAGACCTAAGCACACATTCAATTACAGACCAATACACACACATATATACATACACACAGATGTATACACAATCACAGACACATACAGATAATCACAGACATACAGATAATCACATACATACACAAACACAATCACAGACCCACACACACATACAATCACAGACTCAAACACAAATACAATCACAGACCCACATACACAAACACAATCACAGACCCACACAAATGCAATCACAGGCATTCATACACACACATTTGGTAATTAAGAGGTCCACTCAGCCTCCCTATATTGCTCTGTGAAACTGGAGTGGATCCTCTCCCTGGTGGCCAGTGGTTGCTGCTGTGATGGGATCACTGTGCTCTTTCTGCACAGGTTCCTCATGCCCAGTAGTGATGCCGATGCAGGGTGGCGTCATATCCCAGATGCCGGCTCACTGCAGGGCTCATGAGGAAGCTGTGCAGAAATAGGATAGTAAGTAAATGGGCTCCGTCCCGGCAACTCGGATGGCAACGGGGCCGCATTATAAGTGGTTCAGGCCGGATTCGGCACATGAGCCATGGGTTGCACATGCCTGTTCTAGAATCAGTAAAGTATTCCCACTTTGAACAGGGGGTGGGAAAAGAGACGATAGACATTTTTGCACACTAGTGGTTTTAAATGTATTAATTAATGTGTATCTCTTTTTTCTTGGTCTAAATTAATATGTAGGTTATGCCATGTTTTAAAACTTTGCTATTTAACAGTAAATGACTTACTTAAGTTGTATGTGGCATCTATGATATCCAAGTCTCAATATACTCCCCTTAACCTTCACCTCTTAGCTGTGCTTAAATGCTACATGATTCACTGCATGCAAGAGTCTTCCACAAACAATGATATAAAATTATCCCTTAAGGTCACCATCTAAATGGAATTATACAGCGCATTCCCATGGTGCATGTACATATACTGTACATGTTAATAATTCCACTTATATCCATTTATCTACATTGCTTCTACATTGTTTCACTATTTCGCTACTGCTCTTGTGTCTCCTGAATTTAGTGCTTAATATTTTTTACTTATTTATCTACTGAGTTGAAGTGACTTCTCAGGTCCCTCCAGCAGCATGGTTATGATTACAGATATTTTGTATTTTATTTGAGATGGGTTGCTGACCAAATGATGAATTGGTGTTACTTACACCATATATGCTCCCGTACCATTTATCCTTATCCTACAGTTTTCATAACATATGCTACTAGTTTACAAAAAAAACAAAAATCTATTTCTTTCTCATTGTGTTTGCAGTTTATTTTCTACTACAGTCTTAGACCCCATCCTACATCACGTGGGACAGTAAAAAATGGTAGATTGATTCCATGACTTTGCACACATCTACCACCCAAAGAACAGGAAATAGACTTTAAATACAATATATGAGTTACAATAAATATTCTTTTGTAGCAAATTAGAAAATAAACTTAATTTTATGGTTGATTTTCTTTATTTAACATATCAAGTCAATTGTAAAATTATTTTCCACAGAGGTAAATTGCGTGAGTTCTTCTACAATAAACATTAATCTTAAATTACATTGTTCTTTTATAATGGGAAACGGTTTGGCTTCGCTCATGCCACCTTGTTCTCGGATGTTCATTACAGTAAAACAATCCCTCGTTATCTGTGTCTTCAATAAATGTACAACTTTGGATCATAATGACAATGCCTCAAAGCTTTAATTACTGAAAACAAACTTCATCCTTTGAAAAGCTCCACATATGCCTTGTTTCCTAAATTAGGTTTGTTGACCTCTCTGTTCTCGTTCCAAGTTTTCTGATTTTCATTTACTTGAAGACTCTGAATGTACCAAAAATTGGTCCAATCTAAGCCCTGTATAATAGCATGGCCTCTTCCTTTTGTGTCTAAAAGCATGCTTTGTGCAAGTTGTGCCTCCTTTAAATCATTTCTCAAAGTTCATTATGTATTAAGTTCCATACGTGTTGTGCATTTTTTTCAAGCTACCTGTTTTATTGTACTTAAGCGCAGAAAACACTGTCTTTGGTCGGATTAACTCTTTCTACTGCCATTCCTGCACAGAGAAGTTCTCTCTGCAGCCTAATCACCCTCCACTGCGAGGGAGTGATGTCCTGGAGAATGGCCTGGCGGGTTTCTTACCTTGGCCATGTCTCTGAGTATTGCACACCTTGTGCTTTTGGGCACTCCAGTGATGTTGCAGCTCTGAAATATGGCCAAACTGGTGGCAAGTGGCATCGTGGCAGCTGCACGCTTGACTTTTTTCAGTTCATGGGCAGTTATTTTGCGCCTTGGTTTTTCCACACGCTTCTTGCGACCCTGTTGACTATTTTGAATGAAACGCTTGATTGTTCGATGATCACGCTTCAGAAGCTTTGCAATTTTAAGAGTGCTGCATCCCTCTGCAAGATATCTCACTATTTTTGACTTTTCTGAGCCTGTCAAGTCCTTCTTTTGACCCATTTTGCCAAAGGAAAGGAAGTTGCCTAATAATTATGCACACCTGATATAGGGTGTTGATGTCATTAGACCACACCCCTTCTCATTACAGAGATGCACATCACCTAATATGCTTAATTGGTAGTAGGCTTTCGAGCCTATACAGCTTGGAGTAAGACAACATGCATAAAGAGGATGATGTGGTCAAAATACTCATTTGCCTAATAATTCAGCACTCCCTGTAGTTACGCCTCTGCCCATGCAGTCTCACTTTCTCAATTCTGTGTAATTTGGGAATTAAATGACTTACCCTAGCAATACTTCCCCTGAATGAGACTCACACAGCCTTCCTACACACTTAATGAGAGATCTAATTTTTAAACTTCCCTTAACGCACAGTCTGTTTAATTTAGAATTTCTAACCACCTGCTATGTTGATAGCCTCCTGTGTGTGTAATTAAAGTGTAATTAACAGAGCAGGAGATAAAAAAACTTCTAATATAAATACACTGTGTTGTTAGATCTGATTGAAAATTAACCCCTTAAGGACACGACATGTGTGACATGTCATGATTCCCTTTTATTCCAGAAGTTTGGTCCTTAAGGGGTTAAACTACTTTTTCCATGCGTGTTTTGTGAGTTACAGCCAGGGGAGGTGTGGCTAGAGCTGTATGGATAGAAACAAAAGTTATTTAACTCCTAAATGGCAGAGAATTAAGCAGTGAGACTGCAGGAGTGTAAGCTATACTTCAAAACTGTTTAATAAAGCTTAAGTTTCTGTGGTGCTTAAAGTGTCGCTTTAAATTAAATTAATATCCAGCATCAGTAATGCAACCAAAAGTCGGTTAGCCACCAGGAAGTGCCTCTAGTGGCAGTCTGATTGACAGCCACTAGAGGCAGTCTTAGTCCTGCAATGTAATCACTGCAGTGTCTCAAAAACTGCAAACATTCACGCGTTGGCACTTCACGCCTGCGAAAATCCATAAAATACACAATACAGCCACTGACAGGTGCTGGAGATGCCAACATATCGAAGCCCATCACTCACACATCTGGTGGCAATGTCCACAAATAACAAAATTCTGGAATAGAATACACACACTCATCCAAACACTCATCAATAGTAAAATACCATTCACGCTACAACACTTCATCTTCCTCTTGCCCCCACAAGGCCTACAAAAAGAGAAAACGGCACTCTTTAACCACCTTGCCATGGCAGCAGCACAATTAATACCTAAATATTGGAAACAACCACAACCACCCCCGATCAGGGAGAGAGTAGAAGAAATCAAGCAGATGGAGGAATAGACCTATGCCAAAACCAAGAAGTTTAAAAAGTTCTCTAAAATCTGGGAACCCTGGTTAAACTTCAAAAAGTCAAGAACTTACCAAGAGTAGAGAATTAAGATCTCTTTAGTGTCTTCTACTCAAACCTAGCGCTCCCCTCTACACCTGAATGAGTCCCGGACTTCGGTCCAGACACATACCAATATAATGGGACTTTATATGGGAAAGTTCATGGCAAACACCATTAGTAAATAATAACAGTTAACGCCACCAATACGGAGACCCCCCACCCTCCCACCCCCTCAACAAAATCTCTACTCCCTCAATCTAGAGACAATTTCGCAAAAGGGGTCACTAGAGACCACTCCCTACTTTAGCTTTCACTGATATTGTACACTGTACAAACTGGTATTTTTTATGTAATCCATTAATGTAACCAATGTACATTTTAATACTAATTTTGTGAACACTACAATATTTTGCACTATGATGTATCTTTGCACATGTTACTTTACGATATGTCACTATTACTTTTCTATGTAAAATTGAAATGGAAAAATAAAAAATTGTAAATTTAAAAAAAAAAACTGCAATCATTTACATTGCCGGACTAAGAGGGACAGGGACACTGCACCCACACCACTTAAATGAAGAAGTCTGGGTGCCTATAATGTCCCTTTAAATTCATGGCTCACTTTGAATTCTCACTTTAGTGAATAACCCTTTAAAATTCCTAGTTTAGTGAATACCGTGATTACTGAATGGCTAAAACTATACTACTTGTATAACAGGATTTTAATGTTAGTCTAACGTCAACTTTGATTAAATACGGCTATTAATTGTCTGGCTATGCAGTCAGACATTACACTGTGTATGTGGGTGTGTAAGAAAGACTGAATGTATGTAAATATCTTATCTTATATACAACTTTCACTTTGGGGAGGCAGATTTACAAAATGTCATCAGAATTAAACTATTATAACCTCATGTGAGTTTAAAGGGACACTCTAGGCACCCAGACCACTTCTGCCCATTGGAGTGGTCTGGGTGCCAACTCCCACTACCCTTAACCCTGCAAGTGTAATTATTGCAGTTTTTTATAAACTGCAATAATTACCTTGCAGGGTTAAGTCCTCCCTTAGTGGCTGTCTACTAGACAGCTACTAGAGGGCACTTCCTGCTCCATAGTACAGGTTTTGTGTGCTAGAGCATCGCTGGACATCCTCACACTGTGTGAGGACCTCCAGTGTCGCTCAATTGCCCGTAGGAAAACATTGAAAAGCATTTTCAATGCTTTCCTACGGAGAGCTCTAATGCGCGTTAGGTCTCCCCGGCCGGCGGGCGGGATCAGTCTCGCCCACCAGCTGACATAAGGAAGGGAAGTAGCAGCGGCGACCCGAAACCACCGCCGAGGGACATCGGCAGGGTCTCAGGTAAGTGACTGAATGGGTTTTCACCCCTTCAGCAACCGGGGATGGGAGGTGGGAGGGAGAGGGGACCTGCAGTGCCAGGAAAACAGATTGTTTTCCTGGCACTGGAGAGTCCCTTTAACATCAAGAAAACTAGAAAGGATATTGCAGTAATGCATAAAATGCCCTACTACTTTTACTACCGAAGAACACAATATTTTTAACTATTAAAGGGACACTCTTAGCCAATTGGTAATATCCCATTCTCTTTTTTTTTTTTTTTATTGACAATGCATTAATATGCATAGAAACAACCAATAAAAAATAATAAAAGATACAAAAAAAAGATACTCACTCGTAAAGTTTCTTCTTTTTATGCAAATCCCTAAACATTACATCATTAGCCTTCAGATTTGTCTACTGCAGGTTATTAGCTTGAAGACAGTGAGGAAACTTTTATTCTGGTGTACAGCATGTTCCACGTGTTTAACCAAGCAGTGACAGTGGTAAAGTGTAGGGAGAGGGCTGATTATCACATTTCAAAGACTTCTGTGAACACCTTCAGTTCTGCTTAAAGCATAGGAGTTTCTGGGACTTGTAGTTCATTTAAAATCTTTATGTTAATGAACATTGTCAGCTGAACTACAACAACCAGAAAACTTCCAGTGCTTCTGAATAAATATTATTGCTCACTGCAGGTTAGTAGGAAGGGACAGAAAAGGAACTGTACACAGGTAAAGGAACCAGCAAAGGGGTATATTTTAGGATGAAGGAGGTGGAACACAAGCGGACAGGGGTGAAGAAGCAGAACTCTGCAAAACATTTTTATTTTGCAAAAAAAAAGAAATATACAAACTTTGGCATGCAAAAATACATCTGTTTTTCAGCCAGAAGGTATAAATACATAAAGATTTTATTGGTGTCCCTTTAATTCTCGCTAAAAGTGTCCATTTAAATGGAGAAACAATTTTTCTGAATTCTTCTTTGAAATAATATATTATGTGTCCCTTTCTTGACATGCAGCAAAGTTTCTGTGGTTCGTCTGTCGTGGTGCCAGAGATTGAAGGGGCTCTTTATTTGAAAGAAGACGGCAAGAAGTCTTGGAAAAAGCGGTACTTTCTTCTGCGAGCTTCTGGGATTTATTATGTACCTAAAGGAAAAACTAAGGTCAGTGAGACAGAGGAGAACATTCAGTAATGAAACAATTCCTTAAGGTACAAAGAATGAACTCTCAGGGTGAGTTCCACTACCTGAGACTAGCTCGTCTTACTGGACCACTTGTGTAAATATTGGGAGTCAGGATTTTAAATCATTTTGAATGCTTCGGGTGTTTTGTTTGCAGATATAAGAATAGTAGGTCTATTTCAACCAAAACACTCTCAATGTATACCTTGTCATTCTACTGATAAATGGGAGCTTATTGCCAAAACCTCCTTGTGGAATGGTGGCAAATTCCATTGGGTTTATAAAGGATTTTTTTTTTAAATGACCCACACAGCTTATATTAATTGGTTGAATCATTTTAATTGTGCTTTGCTGCCGTTACTGGTAATGCACATTTGGCGATTATTCACAAACCTTGATTTTTGTAGAGAATTGACAAGGAAATGACAAATTATAGGTTTAAACTATCAAACTCTAAAAAAGAGTTGGAGAATTTTTACATTGTGGCTTGTTTGGAATAATTGTAAATTTCTAACCATTTCCACAAATAATCCAGATTGGTAACTAAACTTTATAGACACTAGTGATATTTTTGTTGTTGGTTTCTCATAAAGCATTATTTGAACAACCTTTTTCTTAGTATTTGTGGACAATAAAAGTATCTTCTGAGCCCTGGGATAATGAATTCCAAATTATCAGGTTTTTTTTTCAGTACAGACTTTTATCAATGCTATATTCCAGAACAAGTTTTTTTTTTATTTATTTATTTTTTATTGGAGTCACGGGGTCATGACTAAGTTTTCTTATTAAAGCTGCTCTGTTACCATCTGGCGAATCAGTAGTTCCCCATTCATTAAAAAAAAAATACGTACCCCTTTTTATGAATGGTGATCTACTGATTGGCTTAGAGTGTCAGCTGACCGCTCTAGCCAATCAGTGGTGCTCCTGTCTGGCGGAACACTGTGCTTCCTGAAAACTCATTTTCAGAAGCTCGATGCCGCTGGGGCAACTGGAGACCCAGCACTAGAGGCAACATTTAGGTTAAAACCATTTGTGAATGGTTAACCCCTTCAGGTAATAAAGTGCCCGGAGGGGTCTCCAGGCACCATAACACCTTAGTTTTGATGATGATCTTATGGTAACCTGAGTATTCCATTAAGTTTGCACAAGAAAACACTGGTGGAACCACCATAGTCTCAACATTCCCTGAAGTTCCATCTGTCAACAGGATGACCAGGCAAGGCTGGGGCATTACCTTGCAGAACCATTTTTAACCCCTTAAGGACACATGTCAGAAATATTCCGTCATGATTCCATGTTATTCCAGAAGTTGTGTCCTTAAGGGGTTAAATATAAACCCAATATGACAATATTGCAAATAAGAAATACCATAGGAAGCACTTTAAGCACTCATTTGGGGTTACTGTAGCAACATTCTCACTCATTCCCTGAGTGCCGTAGAAGAATAGTGTTTGTGTGGTCAGCATCCACCGAAGGTGCAGACTGCATGCTTCCCCGCTGGACCATCAGGGATGCAGTCAGCAGGGATCAAACCCCAGCAATATTCAAATAAGTCATTTTGGTGCTACAAAGGAGAGGAATAGTGCTGAAAACTAAATGAAACAACTCAATAAAATACATTCTCCTACACTCTTATGTAGGAAAATGGATGGGAGGGTCACATAGGTATGATGAGGTTTGCCCCACCTAATGAATGGTGGACAGTAATTATGTTAAAAATCAAAAAACAAAATAAATCTGTCCACCCCCCATTAGTTATTTTAAACTCCCCCACCAGATGCCCACGGGTGATGGGGAACAGATCTTGCACGGCAGATGGGGGTGTATGGAGGTGAAATACCTCACTTGTCGTATTATGTGCGTCCTATTGACCCCCACAGACTTTTTTTTTTTACCTATTGCAGCTGGCTAGCAAGCACTGGCCTGATGCCACATAAATAACCCATGCGTAGCCGAGGGTGTTAAAATATTTGCCCTCTTTCTGCTAGCCACTTGCTTTTTGCACAATAGTAATATTTATAATAATGATAATTTGCTATTGTGCATTCTGATGGATGTATTTCATTCCAAATTTAGTTAAACTGTTGCTTTGTGAACCTTCCTATCCTTTGCATAGGATTCAGATACAAAAGCACCAATTCTAACCTGGACACCAAATGCATAAGTTAATTGCTTCAAATCCGGTCGGACTGACCTAATTTCAACCGGAATCGGCTTTAGTAAATCTGTAAATTGCCAATGCTGTTGGAATTCGGCCATTTTCACTGGTGTTTAGTGAATAGCACTGTTGGCCACTATCACCTAAAATGCACTCTGAATCCCTGACAATTCACACATTTTAAATCATTCAGCAAGCTGCAAGGGGATTTCATAAGTGCAAGGACAAAAAGTACATTTGTAGATATCTCCATGGTACTGCTAAATAAACCGGTATCAAAAGGAAATATTGACAGTTCTGTTTAACCCCTTAAGGACCAAACTTCTGGAATAAAAGGGAATCGTGACATGTCACACGTGTCATGTGTCCTTAAGGGGTTAAAGAGGCATTTAATGCACTGGAAATGGTCTACATACATATATACATACATAGCAGATTGGGGTGTCAGGTAAACGTTGTTGGAGCCAGTCCGCAAATTAATAATTGCATTTTACTGTCTGCTGTGTCAGTATTTTTCCACATTTAGAATAGGCAGACATGCTAAATACATAATCAATAGGATGTGGACACATGATACATTGTATATGAGATGTATGTACATCACGTTATATGATACCATTTTGCAGATGTGTCCCTTTATTATTTTAGTATGTTAAAAAAGGAAATGTTCTTTCGAAAAACAACATATAAAAAGGCAACAAAAATAATGTCTAAATGTCATATTATAATCAGCAGAAAATGAAGGTCTGAATAATGTATTGATTTATGAAGATGTAACCTTGTGCTGTTTCGAGTCATTATTTTCGTGGAGGGGAGGGTGCTTGTACACACAGATATTTTAAATGGTGAAAAACGATGCAGTGTAAAATAGCTGCATCATAACAGCTCCTAGGTACCCGTTATCTCAAGTTGCCATAGCAACCTTCCGAAGAACAAAAAGAAAGCCCTCGGAAAAAAAATTCTGCTACGGAAAAAAAAGGAGGAACGTAACAGTCAATCTAGCCTTTCCCTATAATTTGAAACAGAAAGAAATCTATTTTTTTTTTTACAACAAAACCTATTCACTTGTCTGTAGGGAAAGTCAATTTTGACATACATTTAAAAAAAAAATAGGAAAATCGGGTTTTCTTCAAATTGCTGTAATTTTACATAAAAAAAAAGAAACAGACAACAGCAGCAGCAGCATGAATTCCAATAAGCCCTGGCAGGTGGCTGCTTCTTTTCGGAATATTGCATTGGTGACAACATTCTAAGGTAAGTGACATATGATTGCATGATACATGCGGACAGACAATACAGCAAAACTACAGACAAAATGTTTATGGTTTGGTTTGTTCGTTGATTTTTTTTTTGAGCTCTTTAAACACCGCCCAGTATGAAATAGGCTTTGTATGGGGATAGCTTTGCCTGCCCTGACCTCTTCCTAATTCAAATGAAAGCCACACACACACTAACGGAATCAGGAAATTCCAAAATCTATACTCCAACAATTAATGATTTTTTTTTATTTTAATTTTTTTTTAAAAGCAAGAGGAAATGGGGAAGGGGAAAAAGGGGGGGGGGAGGGGTGGTAGTGTTATGATACCCACTTTGTTGCCAGAACACATTACAGCAAAATACCAGTTCTTCTATTTTCACAACTGTGATAGATACTGTTGAACCGAATATGTTGCCAAAAGCATCTATTTGTTTCTCCAGCTACTTTTAAAAGGCTGTTTTATTCTGTAATTACATACATGTGTGTTTTTGTTTCAGACCTCTCGCGATTTGGCTTGTTTTATTCAGTTTGGAAACGTGAATGTTTATTATGGTGTACAGCATAAAACAAAGTACAAAGCACCCACTGACCACTGCTTTGTCCTGAAGGTATATGAATTACATTACTTATATCCTGCAGATTTTAGTGTAATGATTATAGCTTTCTACGGTATAGCATTTTTTAAATATTCATATTCATATATGTGTTATTTTACACTTGTCAACATTGTATAGTTATCCATTATGGAATAATTGTTCCAGTATGATCTTTATCGAAAGTTGTGATAGCTAACTGTGGCACTGCAGATGTTTGTGAACTACATTACCCAAAATGCTCAGCTTCCCTTGCAGAGGAGCATGAAGGATATTCAGTTTGCAGACACCTGCAGTACAAAGAGGGATCACCACTAAAGTGTCGGTGATATTAAAACTACTGTTAAACCTGTGAATTAATAAAATGACTGGGGTCGTTAAAATTATCTTAAATTTTATGCATTTAAGTGTATTCCTAAATTGCTGGAAATGTATGCAAAACAGTCACGATGAAGTTCATTTGACAAATTTTATTTTCCGTTGACCATGTTAGTGAAAAGGCAATTTTTGCAAATATTTTTTTTTAGAATGTATGTATTCTTTTCTATACACTTCTAGAATAGTGGTATATTTATTTAAATGGAAGTTTAATTTAAATGGCAGATTTATTAAAAGTTTGTGATTAAACGTGGACACTTTTTTTATTACAAACAGGGTGCTGGCTTTAAAAACCCTGAGAACTGTAACTCTTAATAATCTCGGTCAGGTCTCACAGGAGTCTTGAAGGCAGATACCCCATAATATTTCCAGTACTTCATACCTTTATCAGAGTAGTCTCAGAATGTCATACCTTCATCGTAGACATATCTCCCTCCCAGCCCTTCACCCCATTACCCTTGGCATAACTCCTTCCCATTGCTTCATCCCTTCATAACAGGCCTTGACTTCCACCCCAGCAATCTTTCATTATAATCCATTCCCCCCTAGGACTCTTTGAACCCATCATTCTTCCTCATCATAGCCTCCGGCTCCACCTATCTCACACTTTTATTTATCAGAAGCCTCCTTTCTAGCACTTAATCATAGGCTAAGCTTCTCTACAACACATTACCCCTTATCATAGGCCGCCACCCAGCAAATCATCCCTCTATCATAGTCCATCTGCACCAGCCCTCCATCCTTTTATTATAGCCCCACATTTGATCATTTCACCTTCATCATAGGCACCCTTCCTCATAGATCCCTTCTTCATAGTCCTCCTTCTTACCTCCCAAATCTCCATCTATTTTTGAAAGTTCCCTTCCTAAATCCCCATGTTTTTCATTGATTGTTACCTCACCCTTCACCCTAGGCCATCCTCTGCCCATACCATTCCCTTCATGTGGGTCTCCACTGTCAGGGCTCCCTCATTCCTTCCAAGTTGTTTTAAGGCAGGTAGGTATATAAACTGTACCCATCATCTTATAGGTAGGTCCTCATGCTTCATCGTTGACTAAGCTACAAGGTAAAGAGAGGGGTAAAATTGAAGTTGTGGGCACTGAGCAGCTAAGTGTGTGGGCCTTTTCCTACCTTAAACAATGCTTCAAAAGGTAGCTCCAAATCCACCACATATAATAAAGAATTACTCAGATAACCCTGTGAGGAGCTTATTATACTTTTATAAATGACAGATAAAGGACACTACTAGTTAGTCCCCATCATGTCCCTTGATCATAGAGGCATTACCTCCAGACTCTCCGACTACTTACTGGTTGTCAAACTGAACTCTCTGGCCACTTACAGGCTATCAAACCATTCAAAGCAGGTACTACAAGCAGGTGTTACTCCCGTATGTATGAAATATGCAAAATGCTAATGTTCTACTTTTCAGTTTCCTTGGCAACTGGTAATATGAAAACAGAGTGGGTAGTAATAGAAATGAGAGAAAGGTTTCGGTGTACAGAAAAGAACAGAAAAAAAGCAGCTAGCGAGTCATAATGACAGGTGCCTTCTACTCCCCTGCTAAATTATTTTAGTTTTACTCCCCTGCTAAATTATATTTAGTATTATATATACTAGATGAAGAAAATAACATATTTTTTATTTTAAAAATGGCTAAACTAAATAGTGAGTCGGACAGGTCTATATAGCTTGACTAAGAGGTCCTCTTGAGATGTTATTTAAGGTCAAGCAACAATATCAAGACATGTTGGGCGACAAGTGTTAATCATATCAATGTGGTGGGGGAACTCTGGTCTACTTAATTGACAGGTTGCTTTTGGCTAGAGAGTTGGGATGACACTCAGTTAGGACCTAAGTCTTCAGGTGTTTGACCTAGAGTGCAGGTCAAGTTGACTGGTGTTGGCTGGAGAGTTGGGATGACTTTCAGTTAGTTAGTCATCGCGTGACTGATCTCTTGACATTCTATAAACTGATAAAAGCTAGCTGTACTTTCTAGAGAGGCAGGGGAGAAGGACAACGCTTTAGAATTTCTAATATTGATATTAAATGATAACAGATAATAAATAAGAGGCACTTTAGTGACAAGCAAACATTGATTTGCTCAGATGAATACTGGTAAAGTAATTGGGATTATGCATTTAGGTTTTAAAGGCTAACAAAATTTAGGAATGGAATTTTTGTTGCACAATGGGACATGGAAAAACTGTTGAAAGGAGATATCTAATTGTGTTGAAATGGAATGACTTGGAAAGACAGCCCTGCTGATTGGCCAGGGTGGCTGGCCCCACACCGCCTCCTTAGCTAAGATCATCAGAATTGATTATCTTAGTCAATCCAAAGCTTTCCTATGGGAAAGCATTTGACTGGCTCAGATAATCAATTCTGCTGATGCCAGCCATAGAGGCGAAGTGGGGACGGGGCCAGTGCCGCAGACCCGCGCATCACTGGAATAAAGGTAAATTTTTACCATTTTCACTTTAGGGTCAGGAATAGTGATGTCCCGAACGGTTCGCCGAATGGTTCGCCACGGACGGCGAACATATGCGCTGTTTGGTCCGCCCCCTATGTCATCATTGAGTAAACTTTGACCCTGTACCTCACAGTCAGCAGACACATTCCAGCCAATCAGCAGCAGACCCTCCCTCCCAGACCCTCCCACCTCCTGGACAGCATCCATTGTGAAGCTGCATTCTTAGTGAGCTGTCCAGGAGGTGGGAGGGTTTGGGAGGGAGGGTCTGCTGCTGATTGGCTGGAATGTGTCTGCTGACTGTGAGGTACAGGGTCAAAGTTTACTCAATGATGACGAATAGGGGGCGGACCGAACAGCGCATATGTTCGCCGTCCGTGGCAAACCGTTCAGCGAACCGTTCGGGACATCACAAGTCAGGAATACACATTTGTATTCCTCACCCTATAGTGTTTCTATAAATTTGAAAATCACTTTAAATTCACTCTTCAGAACATAACCCTGTCAGGCTCGCACACGTGGCACTGGCTATTCGAGAATCTGGCTTTGTGCTAGAAAGACAATTTGAAATGGACTGGATTTTTTTTTTGAGGTTATGAAGGGAAGTTTATAACAATGAATTAAATCACCAAAAATAGCCTGAAAATCACAAGCAAATAATGGTGGAGCTACACACATTTTTACCTTGCTTCACCCAGGTGGTATGGCTAAGCATCAAGGAATTCGAGACACTATAACCTCTTCAATGAGTTGAAGCAGTTATGGTGCCTACAGTGTCCCTTTAAGTAATTTTTCTGTTCCAGACAGAACTCTCAGCATAAGCTGCAAAATGCAAGGGTTTACAGAAAAAGTGTTTTTTTCATTATATTTATTGTACAATTTCATAATAAAAAAAAAGAATGGAGTTTTATATAATCATTGCAAAACTGTTGACTTTTTTATTGGTGATTATATTAGCATATAGATGATTATTTAAAGTGTATGTTTTCACATTATTATTTCAGCATCCACAAATTCAAAAGGAATCCCAATATATAAAATATTTGTGCTGTGATGATCCTTGGGCTCTTCAGCAGTGGGTTACTGGGATTAGAATAGCCAAGGTAAGATGTCTGAAACGCTTATATTGCCATGATTAAAGTGGCTCTGTCATGGGGCAAACCTACTTTTTTAATGTCGCCCCGATTCTCGGAGTCATTATTGTCGTTGGTGGCCCTGGATCTGGCTCCAAGTCACCATGTTAAGGGATCCTGGCAGTGGCGATTGCATTCTGCCTTAATGTGCCCTGTGCATGCTCACTGCTTCTTTTCTTATTTACAATGCAAGACCAGTGGGTCTCAGATAACTTCAGTCCAAGACTTAGTAATTTCCCAATTCTCTTTCAGTGTTATAGTTACCAAAACAACACTAGCTTAATGAAGTCTCATTAAATCATTTTTGTTCCTATCTATGCAGCCCTAGCCACACCTCCCCTGGCTGTGACTCACACAGCCTGCATGAGAAAAAAAAAGTTTCATATTCAGTCAGATTTTTTTTTTTATCTCTTGCTCTGTAAATTGAACTTTAATCACACACAGGAGATTCTAGCAAGCTATTAACATAGCAGGAGATAAGAAATTCTAAGTATAAACATTAGATCTCTCTTTTTAGGAAGTATTTGGGAAGGCTGTGCAAGTCACATGCAGGTAGGTGTGACTAGCACTGCATGAACAAAGTGATATTTTATTTATTTTTTTAAATTGAAAATCAGATTTTATTGAGATACAAAAGGTAAGTACAGGATAGCAGAATTGTAATGGCAATGCATAGTCAAACTAAGATTATATAACGGTATTGAGTGTCAGGAATAGGCATACATTGATAAACACAGCATTGCATGTAGTGATGACGTCGGTCTCATTTTCTGTATTATAGAGTGTGGTGGGACCATTGCCTGTTCGTGAATTGCCTTTATGTGATTGCCTGTATTTCCCCTGTGTATTTTTGAATCTGTGTATGTTTTACCTGCTCCCCCATTCAAGAGACCTCATATGAACGGGTTCTGTTCGTCTCCCAAACGGGGACCACCCCAAGATCCCATTTAGAATGTTTATTTAGAACGTTTACACCTCGCTAACGAGGTGTGAAAACTGCAAACCACAAGGGAAGCCTCGGCACATGCCTACCCAGGGGGGCGACCCGTTCATTAGATGAACGCCATCCACGGGGAGCATTCGCGGATAGCTTCAGGTGGCAGGATCTTGTGCCCATAGAGTATCCAGCACTCGGATATCCCCAGGGGTGTATAGATGGCAGCCTGACCTCGCTTCTGGCCGGACTCCGGTCAAGAAAAAAAACAGACTTTGCAGGCAGCTGCTGTGAGCTTTGGAGTGGTTAAAAGGGCGATTACTGCTCATAGGTCGTCACTTCCACACCAGAAATTCTGTATATTGCGTTGAATCGCACTTTAAAGGAAACTTTCCAGTCCTGACTCATAAGATCTAGTCAACTGGACTGAAGTTCCAACGCGTTGGCCATCTTGGTCGCGCCTTGTAGCTCTCAGGGCACCTGCCAGGGAGATCTCCACCTCCAAGTCTGTAAGCTCCAGTGGGGACCAAAGGGTGGGTAGTGAAGCTGTAGGATTGCACCTCCGTGTGTGCTCAGGGCGTCCGGAGATCGGCTGCTTCTACACTTCAGGGACCTAAGATGGAGGCGCCCAGATACAGGATGAAATGGCAGGATAATAAAAAGGGATAATTTAAGACAGACTTTTAACAACTGCTTTACTGCAATAGCTGTTATCCCAGTTACTGCAGCACAAACACACACACATACTTTTAATATGAAATTATTTTAATAGGTATTCAATGTAAACATAAGTATCATACACTATATCAACCTATTAAAGACTGATCCATAGTTTAACGTTTTGCTGAAAAGTTAGAACGTAGTGATAATGTTTACCAGGAAACCAAACCAATAATGTATGTGCCATATATCGGACCTGTTTCTCTTTACTGCATCTACCTGACTGTATTGTATCCACTGTCTCCTTAATGAGAAGATAATGAATCTTAAACTTGATTTCAAATCTCATTTCTTTCTATTTTGTTTTATTTCATCATTCTATACCGTTAATATTTTTTGTATCTTCAGGCAGTTGTATTGTCCATACAGGTTTAAAACCACGTACAAGCAAAGCTATAAGACAGATTTTGTTCTCTGTTTGTAATGAATACATTAGACCAGAGACACATTTCCAATTACTGTTTGTTGTTTTATATGTTTCCTTCTATCACAGTACGGAAAGGTTTTGTATGACAACTATAAAACAGCCGTGCAAAGAGCAGGCTTAGCGTCCCACTGGTCAACGCTCTCCAATTCAACCGTAGCAACAGCAGCAGGTAAAATTAATGAAATCAAAAAGAAAAAACTAAGAAGCGTATTCTGGTTCGGCTTACAGTTATACACATTTATGTGTGTGTTTATTTAGCCTGTGAATCATGCTGAAGTACAAGGCTGCCATCAGGGGGTGACAACCATGACAGTTGCCCTAAGGCGCCGGCCTACCGGGCCCCATGTGTCGTGGCGGAACTGCCGCCGTTGCAGGTGCACCAGGGCCTGCATGATGATAGGGCCTATCAGGTGGTCCATGCATTTAGGGCCACCCGACGGGCCTGGTTAGCGTTACAGATGTGTAATAGGGAGGGAGGAGAGACAGGCAGTGAAGAGGGAGAGCCAGACCGACTCCCATCAGCCCTAGCCACTCTCCTGCACTGCAAAGGTAAGAAACAAGAGGGTGGCTGAAATATTAACTATGTGTGTGTGTCAGTGTGTTTGTATGTGTTTATGTGTCTATATGTATGTGTCAGTGTCTGTATACATCTCAGTATGTATGTGTTTGTATGTATATCAGCATATATGTGTGTCAGTATGTGTGTCAGTATGCATGTATGTATGCAAATTTTTTTTTAAATCATTTATATAGCGCCAACAAATTCCATAGAGCTTTTATCAGTATGCTTGTATGTGTCTGTACCTATGTCAGTATGTATATATGTGTGTGTCTGTATGTCCTTATGCATGTGTGTGTGTGTCTGTATGTATGTTAATATATGTGTGTGTGTGTCAGTATGTATGTCTGTATGTCTGTGTATGTCTGTTTCAGTATGTGTGTGTCCCTGGTAGTATGTATGTGTGTTTGTCAGTATATCTCTGTGTCCTTTTATATCAGTGTGTGTCTGTGTTTTTGGCTGTGTATGTATTTCGTGTCAATGTCTGAGTGCCTGTGTATCTCTGTGGGTATATATGTGTGAGTGTGTGTGTGTGTCTGTGTATTTGCATGTGTGTCATTGTATGTGTCTGTGTATCAATGTTTGTGGAAGTGTATACACTAATGCACATCTGCATTCAAACACCAACATTCACACACACATTTCACATAAAAACATGCTTACATTGAAACAAAAATTGTGTGTGTATCTATAAATATATATATAGATAGATATAGATATATATATATATACACACACAATATACATACAGTGTATCCACTACACACACACTGCATCCACTACACATGCATTACACGCACACACACTGCAGCTAATGCACAAACACACACTGCATCCACAAAACACACACCCTGTATCCACTCTCCAAACACTGCTTCCTTGTGGGCGGCTTTGGAGGGCAGGTCCTGAAGGCAGGCTTGGAGGCTGGCACCCAGTGGCCCAGATCTTGAGTTGTGTTAGATTAAATTGTGTTAAATGAAATTTCTAATGGCGGCCCTGCAGAAGTATGATGACAAAGCAAACATATTGACATACCCCCAAAGTTGGTGGCATCTAGCTTGGGTAACTTGTCTGGCAAAGGGAACATAACACATGTATTGCCAGCCAACTAGACCTGAGCATAATAGGAATTGTAGTTTGCAAACATCTGAATTGCTTAGGTTAGGATGGTAATGCTGTTATGACTAAACATGAACACTTATGCAGGAGATGATATAACAATCAATACGCAAAAGAAAAATGAGGACATGTAATGGGGAAATATGAGCTGCAAACAGCTCTCCAAGAACACTTAATGTAATCCTATTGTGCATGTAGGTCACCACACGGTCAGACACTGTGATACAGTTTACATAATGAAGGCGCCTAGTATTAAATAGGAAATAGTCTGCATCATGTGAGCAGCTGATTGCAGAAACACTCTTATTATTTATTTAAAAAAAAAAAAGACCTGTTTCATTGTTTTGCTTATTTTTCACTTACATGAGGAACAATGTCTCAGATCTGGAGCCTAAAACTATCCCATTTTGATTTAGCCAGTAAATATATAAATTGTGATAGAGGTCATTGTGTAATAGATTTTATTTTCACATGCACAGATATTCGTTTTAAAACAAAATAATTATTGTCTATATTGTTTTTTTTTTTTATACAGCAGGAAACGGACAGGTCAGCCAAAACCCAACTCCTATCAGTTCCAGCTTCTCGGATGCTTGGAAACGTGCCGAGGCAACCCAGGTATATGTTTTACTTAAAGGAAATGTCAAAGTTCATTGCCAAAATCATAGACCTACAGAAAGACAAATTGATGGACAGAAATGACAGACAGACAGATGGATGGAAATGACAGACAGACACAAGTGCTGACAAATGTATTATGTTATACATCGGTTAAATAAGGAGACATCTCAGCCATTTCCTGGTTTCAGAAGACATTATCAGACAGGTGAAGGGGAGGAATCAGTTTCCTGTGAAGATTTGCAAAAATGGGATATTCAGTGATATCATTTTCCACACCATTTTTAATACATTAACTTATCAAATTCCTACAGAACTGGTGCTGAATTCATCTGGAATATTCTCACTTTTTTTTTTTGAAAATCTGTTTATTGAAGAAAAGAGAGGGATACAGAAAGAATTCGGCTCGCAGGCCTACTTAGAAGACAAGGGTATTGTAGCGATATTTCCATATTTTGAGTCACATTTTTTTTTTGTGCCCACATAACCAAGTCTCCTGACAGGATTTAATTACAGCGATAAGTTACGTAACTAACAGTAGGCGTACATAGGATAACAGAAAGGTAAAGTATGTAGAGTGGCAACCGTCATTGTTTTGGCGTACGTACATATGTATAGTATGTAACATCCTTATTGCTAGTAAGCGGTCTTTTAACATAAAGCGTGGCTCTAAGTCGGGTGCCTTCATAAGACACATTATACCTTGTAGCAGGAGTGCCTAATAATAGGCTGGACATAGTTAACTAGCTCCTGGCATGAAAGGAGCGTAGGTGCTTTGGTCTTAAGGTTAGGCTTGGTTATCCTATGGGTGTGTTCCCATGTCTCGCAATTCGATGTACCGAAAATAGTGCCAGTATTATGTATTCCTTTTTTTTTTTTGGTTTTCTTGACTCTTGGCTTCCCCTTCCTCCCCCTGTCCCCCAGGCGTGTGCATTGTGTATTAGACATGTAAGAGGGGTCAGCATGGGAAAGAGAGTCGAAAAGGGAGAAAAGAAAGTAGCGGTCCTATCAGGTTCCCCCCCCCCCTTGTCCCCATATCGCGCCCCGTGGGTGCCCAGTGGTTATAGTCGCGTGCGAGAAGGGAAGTCTCGGTTGGGTCACGTATTTTCAGCGTTTCAGAATGTGTGTGGGAGGGTTGGGTCGGCGGGCCGATGTTGGTTTCATCTGCCCAGGGATTATATTTCCAGTGATGGAGTGGTCCCAACCCCCACGGCTTTGGCGGGGTAGGCGCGTGATCTGTCTCCCCGTCCACCGTCACTCCCTCCCCCCTCACGAGACCTTTAGTGCCCTCCAGCCTGGTAGACGAACCATGGTTGCCACATCTCCGCGTGCCTGGTCCCCCGACCCGTCAGGGATGCCTGTAGTGCTTCCGCCAACTGTATGTCTCCGACTCTGTTTCGCCATTCTGCAACCGTGGGGACCTCAGTTCGTTTCCAATATACAGGGATAAGGGCTTTAGCTGCATTCAGTAGGTGACGTAGGATGGACTTCTTGTAACCAGATATGGATCGCGAGGTGATGTGCAGGAGAACTAGTTCCTTGGACCATTCCGTGTCCTCCCCTAGTACCTCCTTGATTTCAGACCGGATTCGTTCCCAATATGGGACAATGATCTTACAATCCCACCAAAGGTGTATGATCGTGCCTCTCTCCTCTTGACATCTCCAGCATGTTGGGGACGCTGTTGGGAAGATCCTGTGTAGGGCAACTGGTGTTCTATACCACATGGATATCAGTTTATAGTTTACTTCCTGATAGTGTGAGCTGGAGGAACTCTTGTGTTGCCATAAAATTGCTGCGTCCCACTGTGGTTGCGATATCGGTTCGCCCATTTGTTCTTCCCATTGTCTCCTGAAGGTGTTGTTAGTTGGGGTAGCTCCCAACAGCAGGTGTTGGTATAGCAGTGAAATTGCTTTGTCGAGTGTGGCGCCTCGTTGGCAAAGACCCTCAAACCATGTGAGGTCTCTATGTAGGTGTTCCCTGCGTGGAATGGATCTATAGTAGTGTGTTAGTTGCAGGTAGCGGAGGGACGCCATGGGCGTATTAGGTCTGTCAGCCATTAATGTGTTTAGGGGTCGAAGTGCCCCTTCTTGGAGGACCGTTCGAATCGGGATGTAGTCCCCCTCCTCCAGAAATATCCAGGCCTTGGCCGAAATGCCTCCCGCCAGATTTGGGTTGGGGACTATGGGGAGCAGGGGACTGGGGGTCGGGGACACATGGCTGGTTTTCCGTATCGTTGCCCAAGTCTTTAGCGTCTGCGTCGTCGGGTTCCCTGCTCCTTCGCCATCGCGACATCTCGTTCCCCCTTGCCATACCGCCGCTTTAAGTGTGGCCCGTGATTCTCCCCCATCCAGGACGACCCATTGTTTTGGGGAATCAGCCGCGTGCCACTCCAGGATTCGTTGAAGTGTGGTGGCTTGGTGGTATCTTTTGAAGTCCGGGAGCGCCAGGCCACCTCCCAGTCTAGGTAGGCAAAGTACGTTGTGGCGTAGTCGAGACTTCTCCCCTCTCCAGACATATCTAATTACCGCCGATTTCAGGGTGGAGAAGAAGGTTGTCGGTGGTGCCACTGGTATTGTCTGAAATAGGTAGAGGATTCTCGGGAGCACGTTCATCTTGATTACTGCGATTCGTCCGTGCCAGGTGATGTGCGGATATGCCCATCTGTCAAGATCTGAGGTTACCTGTCGCAGGATGTTGGCAAAGTTATGTCGATAAAGTTCCTGCGGGTTTGTGGTGATCCACACTCCAAGATATTTCATTTTCTCCGCGCACCAGCGGAATGGAAAGACTGTTCCCAATTCCAGGTATTCTTCCGGTGGAAAGGTTAGATTAAGTACTTCACATTTTGAAAGATTAAGTTTAAATCCTGCGATTTTCCCGAATTTTTCGAATTCTAGCAGTAAGCAGGGCATCGTGACTCGTGGGTTAGAGATAAAGAAGAGAAGATCGTCCGCGTATGCGGCCACCTTATGCTCCGTTCCCCTCCAATTGTATCCCGAGATGTCTGGGTTATGGCGGATCGCGTGTAGTAGTGGTTCCAGAGTCATTGCAAATAGTAGTGGCGACAAGGGGCATCCCTGTCTAGTTCCATTTTGAATCTCGAAGCCGGAGGTAAGGGCCCCGTTCACCCGAATAGATGCGTGTGGTTTATCATACAGGGCAGAGATCCACGTCAACATGTTCTGTCCTAGACCCATGGCCCTCAGTGTGTCCATCATGTATGACCAGTTAACACGGTCAAAGGCCTTTTCGGCGTCCGTGGAAAGGAGTAAGATCTTGTCCCGCGTCTCCCGTGCTCTGTGTTGTATGGAGAAGAGGCGCAGTGTACTGTCTCGCGCCTCCCTCCCCGGTATAAACCCCGTCTGGTCTTCATGGATCAGGCTTGGCAGTATACGTTGTAGCCTAGTTGCTAGTACCTTCGTGAGCAGTTTCGTATCCACGTTTAGTAAGGATATTGGTCGGTAACTGCTACACTGTTCCGGGTCTTTCCCTGGTTTGAGCAGGACCGTGATAGTGGCGGCTAGTGATTCCGCTCCGAATCTTTTCCCCTCGGTGATGGTGTTGACCGCAGTAGTTAGTCGAGGTAGGAGAGTTGAGGAAAAGCGTTTGTAATAACCTATGGAGAATCCATCAGGTCCCGGTGCCTTGCCCGCCTTAGCACTCTTCAAGGCTGCGGCCATTTCCTCAATGCTAATCGGTTCGTCCAGCGTATTCGCTGCTTCCCGTGATACCCGGCTACCTACGTTGTCTTGTAGGTATTCTTGGATAGGTGTGCTGGCGTGGCTTCCCATCGTCATATTTCCAGGGCCATGTAGATTATACAAGGCGTGGTAATATCGTTGGAATTCATTGGCGATGTCCTCAGGGAATTGGGACACTGTCCCTGTTTGTAGACGTATTTTATGTATCCGTGTGCGGGGGGTATCGCCTTTCAGGACGCGGGCTAGGTATTTGCCTCCTTTGTTAGCCTGGATATAGAAAAAGTTCTTGGAGTGTTGTAGTGAGCGGTAGTATCGTTTCGTGAGAAGATCAGTCAGTCTGCGTCGGGCATCTGTCAGGTCTTGTCGGACACTGGCAAGTTGGTTTTGTTTGTGTTGGAGTTCCAGCTTCGAGATAGTCCCATATAGGTCCGCCATTTCCTGCATGGTTGCCTTCCGTCGTCGAGAGGCTATTTTTATAAGTATACCGCGGATGGTACTCTTATGAGCTTCCCAGAGTACAATTGGAGAGGTGTCTGACACATCATTTTCTTCGAAGTAAAGGTCAAGAGCTCGTTTAATTTCGCTTTCCACCTCGGGGTCCTGTAGCAAGGATTCGTTCAGACGCCAGGTCCATGTTGCCGGTTTGAACAGTGGCGATTCCAGTTCCACTGTAACCGGACCGTGATCCGACCATGTAGCGGGGTCGATTGTGGCCTTCTTCAGTCGCGACAGGCCTTCCTGTTGGATTAGTACGTAGTCAATCCGCGAGTAGCGGTTGTGAAGTGCGGAGTAGTGGGTGTAATCTTTGACATCCGGGTTGAGTACTCTCCAACAGTCCACCAGTCCCAAGTCACCCAACGACTTACGTTGCTAGACATAGGTATATAACAGTGTCCCGTGGATGTGTCCATCTGAGGGTCCAACGGGGTATTGAGATCACCCCCCAACAATGAGTGTGCCCTCCGAGAATCCGCTCAGTTTGTTCATTGTTCTCCGAAGGAAACGTGCCTGGTTTTTGTTGGGCACATAAATGGAAGCCAGGGTGTACATTCTGTCCGCTATCGTGCCTTTTAGGAAGAGGTATCTCCCTAGCTTGTCAGTTACCTTATCTAGTTCTTTGAAGTCCAGTTCTGCTGCAAGGGTGATAGCGACTCCTGCTTTACGGGTTGTGGGATGATTGCTGAAGAAGGTGTTGGGGTATTGCCGATTACGGAGTTTAGGCGCGGACCCCTCGAGGAAGTGAGTTTCCTGGAGAATCGCTATGGAGATTCGTTTTTTCCGTAGTTCACGAAGCAGATGGGTGCGTCGTTCCGGCACGTTCAGGCCTCGGCAGTTGAGAGCCATAGCAGTTAGCGGAGCACCGAGGTACGCCATCGTCAATCCGCCAGCCAGGAGGGGGCACGCGGAGACCCCAGCACCAGGTCTTATATTACAGCTAGCTGGAGGCCTGTCCACGTTCCCTCAAAGTCACCCAGTGATCAGTCCACAGTGTAGCCGCAGGTGCGGTGGGTCGATTGGCGTGGGATCACCGGGTGCGCAGGGCTCCCACCCCGCGACCGGTGCTATGTCAAGACGTCAGGCACTTCAGGTTGCGGGTCGATATGTCCTTATGTGGTAGGCTCAGAGCGACTAGGGTAGTAGGGGCGATAAGTGTACTCACACGCGGAGCACACCCTTGAGTCGGGGGGGGGGTTGTCACAGGTCCGTCAAAGTAGGTTGTAGAGTGAGGAAAGTGTGTGGGTTAAAAAAGTGGGGAGTTATAAAGACCCCCAAGTAGAGGTGGCCCCGAGAAGGGGAAAGGAGAGTGTCCACCTCGGTCCTCCTTTGTGGAAAGGAGGGTGTAGCCGTGCGACGGCGGGAGGTGCCCGGGCCCACCCCGGTAACCAGACCGATGTGTGGGCCTGCGGGAAGCCCCGACGTCTAAAACTGTGCACGGTTTTTGTTAGGGGTTAGCAGCCCCGCCCCAATCCTTCTTGGGCCGAAAGTGAGAGTGTTGTAACCGATTAATACTAACCAGCTCCCCCCCGCCGGCCCTCCAGCCTGGTGCCGGTATCGGTACATGGAAAGCCAAACATATAAACAGTAGCATACATACATTTCAACATTGTAACATATGAGGACAATACCCAGAGTCCAATCGGCTTGCCCCCTCCACCGTCCCGTCTCCCGCCCTCCCCGATTCCCCGGACCTGGATGCGCCTCCTGCATCCTGGACGTTAGTCAATGAAAAACAAGTAACGTATAAGTGACAGCATCACGAACATTAGGCATGCATACATAATATGAGGTTATTATTATGTCTCATTCCCCTTCCCCCTTCCTTTTCCTACCTTCCCCCCATCTGTCTTCCCTCCCCCCTCTCTGCTTACCCTTTGTGTGGCAATTGGGGAATATATTCAATAATGTGTCTGCGAAATATGGCCCGGGTGTCTTCTATGTCCCAGTACTATCCCCCTCCACATCTATCTATGCTAAATCCTCCTATCTGTTTCTGCGGGTGTGTTGTGGCGAGTGATATTCTCACTTTTTCACTCACCAACTTCTTTGTAGCTCAGTTGTTAGAGGGACACTACAGGCATCAACTCAACTTTAACTTAATGAAGCTGTTTTGGTGTATAGATCATGCCCCTGCAGTCTCACCGCTCAATTCTTATCTCCTGCTCTGTTAATAGCCTCCTAGATCCTGCAGGTTCATCCTCTGTGTGTTTAAAGTTAAATTTACAACACAGGTGATATACATTTCTAAAAAAAGTTAGTTTGTTTGAAAACTAAACCATTTTTTCATGCAGGTTATGTAAGTCACAACAAGGGTAGGTGTGGCTAGGGCTGCATAAATAGAACCCAAAGTGATTTAACTCCTAAATGACAGAGAATTGAGCAGTAAGACTGCAGGGGCATGATCGACACACCAAAACTGCTTCATTAAGCTAAAGTTGCGTTGATGCCTATAATATCCCTTTAAATAAAAGCTAATAAACTGAAGGTCCAAAAGTCAGGAGCTACTTAAATGGTGGTAGTTAATGAATACATCTGATGGAGACAAAATACAATAAATAACAAGATTCCAGTAAAGAAATCCATCCAAGTGTATGAAAACCAGCGATCATGTGTGGAGAATATAAACTGTATTCCTATACGAGTATCCTAACACTGACAATTGAAACAGGGAATTATGGGTTGTTGTTCCTTTTTAAATTCCAGATCATTTCTGTAAACGCTATATAGAAATAAACTGCTAATCTTGATGACAAATTACAAGACATGTAAAAATAATCTAATGAAAAGCATTAAAAACATTCCTTTGGTTTAAGTAATCTAATTTATATTACAGTGTAACAAAGCAATTATCTGCTCTTCACAATGTAGAACTGTAATAATGTTTATACTCTATCTTGTTTTCCTGTCTTGAGAAGATATATTGCTAGCAATTAGTATAATAATATGGCCTCCTACCCAGTACAAGTGAGAATTTAAATTTAAAAAAATATATACTAGTCTAAAATTTCAGAAATAATATATTTATCCCTTAAAAAAAGCCATTTACTTATTTTATGTCACATACTGAACTGTTTGAAGAATTCGATGTTTCGATTTTTGAAGAATTCGATGTTTTGATTGTCACCTATAAGTCTTATTTAGACCTCAAATTAATATTGTTGAATTTGCTTTAGAAATGATTTAATATTTTTTGATAAACTTTAAAAAAGACTTTTTTTGAAAAGATTAAAATATCAAAAAATACGTATAAAAATATATCAATATCTCTAAAAAAATATGAAAATATAATTTATTTTTAATATTCTTCATAATAGTGAAACATTTAAAAAGCATATCAAACTATATTTAATTGAGGACTTAGTTATAACACCAGCAGTGCTCTGGAAGTTTTTGAAATACGCAGTGAGCATGTTTTTTTTCCTATAGTGAGAGAATTTTGAGACTTGTGATCTCCTGGGGGGGTTTTGCCCACCCTAGAGCAGCAGAAAGCCCACATCCTTGTTTTATCTTTGGAGCAGGTTAGATAACAGACAGAGGGTGCTTTCGACTTGATATCACACCTCATGCTCTTAGTCTAATACATTGTAACTTTGCACAAAAACAAGGAAAGTGGGATATGTGTAGCCATTGCCCTGAGGCCTACTAATAGACCATCAGGTTCCTGGTCTCTGCTTTCTCATACCATTAGATAAGGATTTTGGGCTACCGGGGAAATATTAAGCAAGCACTGCTTAACATGGTACATATTTACATGGTACTTTTTATAGAGCAGCCATCTACTGATCACTTTAAGGAATGGTAAAAATACATACAGGGTTATTCACTGGTAGGTGAGAATTGCTAGGAATGTAAAGTGAATTTCAAAATTAAGGCCAAAAGAGACAAACTAAAAAAAACAGGAAATGACTTGGAGACATTTTTTCTATATTAATTTATTTTGGTCTAAATTTTTTAATTCTCTTGGAATCCCAGGATTCCTCACTTTAGTGAATCCTAATAGTGTTCTCCAGGTTCCTGTTTGAATGTCATCATGTCTACATATGCCACATATAGGCAGCTCTTTATGTAGCGGTAGCCTCCCCATTCTCTAAGATGGATGATATAAAATGTAAATTTTTATGATTGTAATTCTAACACTCACATCCCCTGCTCTACAGATTACAACTGTGTTTTTGTGTTTAGTGTTTATGTTGCTTTATATTCCATATTGGAAAATGGTACGGAGATAGGCAGCCTTCAGCCCTCCAGCTTTGTGGACTACATCTCCCAAAATGCTCCTACAGCTATAACACTGGCAAAGCATCAAGGGAAATGTAGTAGACAACATCAAGAGTGCCAAGGGTTGCCTACACCTGGGTTAGTACATTCAATCCACTCCACCCAAGACCTTGGAAGGGTAGAGTGTGGTCCAAGACACATAACATAGCAACCTCATACATGCTGCTTTAAAAGAATAATCTAATGGATTTGAATTGCTAAACTCGCATATGTCTTGTTTTTTTTTATCCAGGATTACAAGCCAAATGAGATGAAAAAACCTGAACCTAAAATATCAACTTCTACATTAAAACAACCCCCACCTGCACCTGTCAGAATATCATCTAGTAAACAAAAAACTCCACCACAGCTGCCAAGCAAAATGAATTCTGCAATCCCACCACCTCCACAGTTTCCAGCACCGGAACCTCTGCAGCTTGACGATGATTTTCTACCCCCTCCTCCTCCTGAATTCCTTGACTCCCCTCCTGATTTCTTACCACCACCTCCACCTGCCTTTTCTTCTGACTCGATGTTTTCCTCACCTCCACAATCGCCAGAGCCACAGGGCTTCAGTGCTCCTCTCCCACCACCTCCTCCACCCATTTTTGCATCCAACAGTCCCCCCCAACTGCCGGTGAAAAAGCAGCCACCCAATCCTCCAAAAAGACAAACTAACCCAGGACTTGCAGGAAGTGACCCACACCAGAGTAAAACCAATGCTAACGGATCGGTGTCTGGTGGTGAGCCAGATTTCATGTCTGATTTAATGAAAGCTTTGAATAAGAAGAAAGGAAATGTGTCCTAATTTCATTAAGGAGTTTAATGAATGCTAAGAATCAGAAATCAAACTTGGTCTTTGAGAATTAAAGAGGCCTATGGCTCTCCAACAGTTAAGTGTCTACTGGCGCCAGCTGTTGTATAAATTTGGCTACGCTCAGAATAGCGATCCACCTGTCAGCCGCCACAACTTCTGATGTTCTGCCACTCAGTACTAAATGTAAAATAGCAGCTACTATGTAACGTAAAACAACAATTACATTTCCTTTCTTAGCATTTTACACCTATGCCATCCAAAAACTCAAATTCATTAGTATCTAACTCTGATAATATAGCTTGGGAGCAAGAAAATTTCATTATTCATTAGATATTTTTTCTTTACTAAATGTTTGCATGTTTTTTGTTTTGTATTTTTGAGATTCAATAAAAAATAAAAAGTAAACTCTTAACTGTATGTTTATGTCTAATAACTGCCCAGCATAAACTTCAGGGCCCTTTCATATATAATTAGGGGGGGGGAGGGAGAGAACATTTAGTTTAGAACTTAACCCTTTTTAAAAAATGGCTCTGAACAATTGCTTCATCTGCACTTATGGCCCATGTCATTCAACAGTTTCAACCCTCTGTTGCTGAATTTTTTGGTCTACTACAGAAATATTTATAACCGAACAACTAAAATTAATTAGTGTCTAATGTTAGAGTTGCTGTTAGAGTTAAGTCTGAGAATCGGAGCAGGAACCTCATTTGTGTACAGTGCTACAAGCCCATATCCATAATAATTATTATAATTGGCATTTATATAGCATCAACTTATTCTGCAGCGGTTTCATAGGCGTGCGCAGCATATTGTATAAGGGTGTGCATCCTAAAGTAGAAACACACACACCGCGTGTATGTATATATATATATATATATATATATATATATATACACATAAACATACAAACACACACACTGCTGTGTGTGTGTGTGAGGGAGCTGTGTGTGTGAAGGCGCTGTGTGTGTGCGGGCACTGTGTGTGTGTAGGCGCTGTGTGTGTGAAGGCGCTGTTAGTGTGTGCTGTGTGTGTGCATGTGTAAGGGTGCTGTTAGTGTGTGTGTGTGTGTGTGGGGGTTGCTGTGCGTGTGAGGGTGCTGTTAGTGTGTGCTGTGTGTGTGTGGGTGAGGGTGCTGTGTGTGTGAGGGTGCTGTTAGTGTGTGTATGTGTAAGGGTGCTGTGTTTGTAAGGGTGCTGTTAGTGTGTGCTGTGTGTGTGAGGGTGCTGTGTGTAAGTGTGCTGTTAGTGTGTGCTGTGTGTGTGTGTGTGTGTGTGAGGGTGCTGTGTGTGTAAGGGTGTTGTTAGTGTGTGCTGTGTGTGTGTGTAAGGGTGTTGTTAGTGTGAGGGTGCTGTGTGTGTAAGGGTGATGTATGTGTGTGTGCTGTATGTTTGCGTTTAATGTGTGGGGTGTGGGGGCCGTTTAGTTAAACCCTCCCTGGTGGTCCAGTGGAGAGTGAACTCTAGCCTGCGGGGCTAGAGTTCACTCTCGGCAACACTCCGACCGCACAAGAGGAATCCGACGGAGCTGCTGGCAAGAGCTCCCCGGGTCCTCTCCTGCCTCCCTCCCTCCCTCACCGGCCCATGGAGGGAGGCACATATCGCGTGCCGCGGGGATTAGGGTGTGCCCAGGCACACCCGGCACACCCCGTGCGCACGCCTATGAGCGGTTTACAATAATATAAAAGGGGAGAATTTAGAAATGAGACAATTACCAAATGTTTCAGGAATAATAAGTTGATGAGGACCCTGCTCAAAGGAGCTTACATTTTAGAGGAGGTTGATGAGAGCCCTGCTCGGAGGAGCTTACAATCTAGAGGAGGTTGATGTAACTTGTGGAGTTACTGCGTGCTGCGCTCGACCAGGCACTTGGGAGTGCACAATAATCGAGGCTTCAGACCTCCACTATGTCCCAGTTTGAGCGGCCAAGGTGGTGTTCTGCTCTATTTTGTCCAGATCCAGGACTGCCCGGGTATCTTCCACAACTCCTGTGAGGTCAAATGTGGCTCCAATGGAGTAAGGACACAGCTGTCAATGCCAATTCACTGCTGAGGTAGAGTTGAGGTGCTCAGGTGGAAGGTTTACAATTACAGGACAGCTCGGTGCAGAGCTCTTCAACCTTTGTCCACTTCCCTTGGCCCCTCCCACGGAAGACCCAATTTAGATTTTAATTTTTTTAAAGGAATATTCTAAGTGCCAGGAATACAAACCTGTATTTCTGGCACTATAGCTCCGTCTGCCTCCCCCCTCCTTCACAGCCACCCACTGTGGTAAATAAAGGGTTAAAAACTCTTTATTTACTTACCTGATACCAGCGCCAATGTCTTGCGGCGCTGGGACGTGGCTTCGCCTCTTCCAACGTCCAAAGACGAATGGGCGCTGATGCTGGATGTCCTCATGCATAGAATGAGATGTCCAGTATCAGCTACTGGACCAAAGGGCCGTTTGGATGCAGGAAGCGCCACCAGTGGGTGTCTTGGAGACAGCCACGGGAGGCAGGCTTAGTGCTGCAATGTAAACATTGCAGTTTAACATTGCAGCCCTAAGTGCAATAGGGACACTGCACCCAGACCCCTTCAATGAGCTGAAATGGTCTGGGTTCCTATAGTGTCCCTTCAAGTTACTAATATTAATTTAGAGTTATGACTCCAGTTTTCCTTGCAGTCTAATTTCACAATTGTCAATTAGTTGTTATTTTTCTTGCAGTTCTTTGTGGAAAAAATGCTATATAACCTATTTTGGCAAAGCAGAAGTAGACTGTGAAATCTTACACAGATCTGTTTAGGTATACAGATTCAGTTCCTTTCAATACAGTTTTATCATTACACAGTGTATTTTCTTATGGCACAGAGTAAAATACTAGCAATACAAAGGTTGGAGTGTGCCCTACTTTTTAATTGGAAAAAATACCCATACAAGATATTCACTAAAATAAAACAGAATGCAGATTTATATTTGATACAATGCTGGATTATATATGTTAACCATATATTTATCAGACATATTGCAAGATGCAAGTCCCATGTCAAATTGAGAGCCGTCTTTTGCAAACTGGACATTTTTGCTATTTTTAAAACTATTGCTAACAGAAAGTTGAAGCCTAAAAGTGAAGTAATCACTATGGTTACTGACTGACTTAACAGGAACATTCAGTTGTTTATATCACTATTTTATTCCCACTTAAGGACAGATCACTATCAATAAAAAAAACAAAAAAACACTATGATATTAGTGGAGGCTTCTAGGTGCATGCCTGATAGGGGCACCTACTTTGACTGTTAAAAGCCCCTACCTTCAGGGCCGGTGAAAGGATTTTTCGCCACCCTAAGCAAAAAAAAAAATTGCCGCCCCCCCCATGTGACATCACAATGCCCCACCCATATGATCCGCCATATGAACTAACGCCAGTGCTGCACACAGTGTGTGTTTACATTAAAAAGCCTGCAGGGACCGGCTATAGACACTAGAACCACTTCATTAAGCAGCAGTGGTTCTGGGGAGTATAGTGTCCCTTTAATGTGAGGTAAATTATAGATTAGTGTCACTAATAATATACTAGATTGCCTACTTACAATCAGATGAGGATGATGATGGGCTCTAGCTGCAGTTTGGCTCCACTGGTCTGGTGTAGAACAGGATCTCTGGAGGCGGTTTGTAACTGTGGTCACAAAAATCAATGTTCTGGGAGAACGGGAAGCAGCTCCATTTTTTTGGGCCCCTTGCACAGCTCAAGGTCTGGGCCCCCAGGGTATGCCCATAAGGCCCATCCATAAGTCCACCTACATGTTCCACCCATGAGTTCGCTCACAGGGGGTGGAGTGTGTAGGGGATGTGTTATGTATTAGTGTTGAGGATCTAAAGTGTGTGCTTATGGAATGTAGTGTATAGGGATACCAGTTTGTGTAGGTGCTGCAGTGTGTGTAAAGTGGATGCAGTATGTTTTTGTGTAAGGGATAAAAAGCAGTGTTTCTGGTTGTGTTTAAGGGATGCATTGTGTGAATGTGTTTGTATGTGTAAGGGATGCAAGGTGTGTTTCTGTGTATGTAAGGGATGCAGTGTGTGTGTCTGTAAGGGGTGCATTAAGTGTGTGTGTGTAAGAGATGCATTGTGTTTCTGTGTGTGTGTAAGAGAAGCAGTGTGTGTTTGTGTGTGTAATGGATGCATTGTATGTTTCTCTGTGTGTAAGGGAAGCATGGTGTGTTTCTGTGTGTGTAGAGATGCATTGTGTGTTTCTGTGTGAAAGAGAGAGTTTGTGGGGTAGGATAGGGGCCTCTTCCCTCCTCCACCCGCTTTCTATTAGTGGTGTCTCCTTCCCCCCCCCCTGCCCCTAGTGGTCTCTTCTCTCTCCCCTCGTTGTGTCTCCTCCCCCCTCCCCTTTAGTGGTCTCTCTTCTAACCTCACCCTTAGTGGTCTCTTCCTCCCCCCTCTCCAAGTCGTCTCTCCTCCACCCCCTCTCCCTCCCTTAGTGGTCTCTCCTCACCCCCCACCTTGGTGGTCTCTCCCCACCTCCCGCTCTCCCTCCCATGGTGGTCTCTTCCCCAACCCACTCAGTAGTCTCTTCCCCCTATTCTCCTCCACCCCCCTCTCCTACCTTGGGTAGCTTGGCAGCGCTCCGATCCGGTCCGCGGTACAGGAGTTTCTGTTTCCTGTACCCGGCCGGACTGACAGTAAGTGCTCACTCAGTTAGCACTTCCTGTCAGTCCGGGCGATTAGAGGAAACGGATGCTCCTGTACCGCAGACTGGACGGGAGCTCGGCCACGCTACACTGAGGGACTGGCAGGAGAGAGCGCTGTGCGCTTCCCTCCTGCTGATCCCTCATATCTTGCACCCCCAAGCCGGTGCATCCTCATGGACCCGCCATCCAAGGCAGTGCTCGGGTGGCTGCAGCATGAGGGGGGCTGGTGGTCCTGGCGGTGCCTGAGGCGACTGCCTAAGTTGCCTATGGGAAGCGCCAGCCCTGCCTACCTTCTACCTGTCTGGTGTCTGTTGTTTGCTGATTGAAACAGGGGCACCAGGACCTTGGATAACTCTATTCAGTCTGAGGATCTGGATCTGCACATGGCCCCACCCCCTCAGACAGAATACAGTGATCTATGCATGGCCCCACACCCTCAGACTGAACACAGTGATCTATGCATGGCCCCACCCCCTAAGACTGAACACAGCGATCTGTGCATGGCCCCGCCCCCTCAGACTGAACACAGTGATCTGTGCATGGCCCCGCCCACTCAGACTGAACACAGTAATCTGTGCGTGGCCCCGCCCACTCAGACTGAACACAGTAATCTGTGCGTGGCCCCGCCCACTCAGACTGAACACAGTAATCTGTGCATGGCCCCGCCCCCTCAGACTGAACACAGTAATCTGTGCATGGCCCCGCCCACTCAGACTGAACACTGAGATCTGTGCATGACCCCACCCCCTCAGACTGAACACAGTGATATGTGCATGGCCCCGTCCCCTCAGACTGAACACAGTGATCTGTGCATGATCCCGCCCACTCAGACTCAACACAGTGATCTGTGCATGGCCCAGCCCACTCAGACTGAACACAGAGATCTGTGCATGGCCCCGCCCCCTCAGACTGAACACAGAGATCTGTGCATGGCCCCGCCCACTCAGACTGAACACAGTGATCTGTGCATGGCCCCGCCCCCTCAGACTGAACACAGTGATCTGTGCATGGCCCCGCCCACTCAGACTGAACACAGTGATCTGTGCATGGCCCCGCCCACTCAGACTGAACACAGTGATCTGTGCATGGCCCCGCCCACTCAGACTGAACACAGTGATCTGTGCATGCCCCGCCCCCTCAGACTGAACACAGTGATCTGTGCATGGCCCCGCCCACTCAGACTGAAACAGTGATCTGTGCATGGCCCCGCCCACTCAGACTGAACACAGTGATCTGTGCATGGCCCCGCCCCCTCAGACTGAACACAGTGATCTGTGCGTGGCCCCGCCCACTCAGACTGAACACAGTGATCTGTGCATGGCCCCGCCCACTCAGACTGAACACAGTGATCTGTGCACCCCCATTTGGCTCTTTCAGTATGAGAGAGACAGATGGGGATTGAGTATGGGTAGGTGAGATGAAGAGAAAATGAGGTAGTAAACATTGAAGACATAAAATGCATCCTTTAAAATACTGAATTAAAAGACAACTCAGCTGATTTTTCCCCCCACTATTTAGTAGATATACTTCCACAGACACAAAAAACAACTAATTATTTTTCTGCATAGCTACAGACTTGCTGCCTTTAGACTTTAAAAGCCATTCCTTCTTTCCCAGAGAATTCTCCAGTCAGAGGCGTCTCCCTGTGCTGGAGCCACACATGCAGTCACACATGATCACAGCTTTCTAATGCTTCTCAATGAGCTGTAGTACTGCTCATTGAGATGGGGGGAAGGCAGGCGTGCTCTATCGAGCTAAGGTAGGCAATCTTTGGCACTTCCAATGTTGTGGACTACATTCCCCATAATGCTCTTTTAGTCTGGAGTACCAAAAGTTGCCTACCCTTGTTATAGACCAATGGTTGTAACTATAAAGCCTTTTACCCTAACTTTCCTCCATCTTGAAGGCATTCATCTTAAATACAAAATGTTTCCAAAATCTTACCCAAAGCTGTGAATGGAGCTATCAGTACGCTCATAGCAGTTGTGGTGCAGTTGCAATCATTACATGCTGAGTGATAAATTAAATTGCAGCCACGTTCTTAACAATAGATCCGATAAACCTCTCCAGGGTGGGATGATATAAGATATAAGAGAAGTTGAGACTCTTTTGCCCAGAATGTGAGCCATGTGATTGGCTGAGCCACTGTTTGGATCAGTAAGAGCTCATTGCACATTCCCTAGTCTGAGAATTTGCAGCAAATGTGGAACATTTATAGGTTAGCATGTTTTTTACGTTACGTTTTTTCATTTATTTATTTTTTATATTTTTAGTGTAATACAAAAGAGGTGTCACTTCCATCCTGGAGTATCCTTTGAATCTATTATGGAGTGGCACACAAAGAGTACAAACCTTTGGTACAGGAGATGCCAGCAGTACCTTCATTGACCACCTGCTACAAATTAACAGAGACCTACTTTGGCAGCTGTGCTATGGCATCGTAATTGATTGGAACAATTATAAAAGGTTTTCGCTTCCAAAGAAATAAATCTGTGGGGATCAGTGATATGAAGCAGGTCTGCCCGAGGGTATTCCCCGCAATGAGGTCACTATTCACATTATGCCTAAAACACAAACTAATTACATTCTTACACGATGACTTAATTCAAACTATTGAAAATAACTTTTCTACAGCAGTATATAGGGGGTGACAAACTCCAAAAAAACATTCTATCCAATTAAGTAGTGACAATTCTATATTGGTAATATTCCTAGATACATAGTGTCCCATGTTAATCAAAAGAATAATAAATCACGGAAACACCGAAAAACAACATTATGTCACATTATGACACATTTATAGGTGTATTCATTTTCTAAAAAAAAAAAAAAAAGACCAACTGATGGATAAAGAGACAGATGGATAGATGGTCAAAACAAAAACAAAACTTTTTTTTTGCCAACAGTAAACATATACAATTTTCACAAGGTTTATTAAAAGGAACTATTTAGTAGCTGTACAGAGAGAAAATCTGCAAAATGAAAATGATAAATATATTTGCAGTCACTTGGCTTTATTTTGAAAACTTTTATAAAGCAATCTGGCTCTATCAACGTGGCCAAGTAAGGTAGTGACTCATCGCAGAGTTAGATTCAGATCGGAATTGTCTCTGTTTCAAGATGAACAGCTGACTTTCAAATCTCTGGCCCAGGCTGGAGCATGCTTTGAATATCCAGCCATTTCTGCAATTTTCTGCTTTCGAAAAGGTTGTCTTAATGTATTCAGCAACAAGCGAACCTAGGTTAAAATGACAAGGAGCAAAAGGAAACACATTGGGTAAAACTAAAATATTCAAATATATATATATTTTTATTATTTGTTGGGGGAGAGTGTCTAATAAGGTGACTAATAGATCTAATTTAATGAACACTACAGTGTTAGGAATACAAATATATATTTGTAACGTTATAGTGTTCTAGTGCCTATTTAGGTTCAGACCGACCCAACTACAATAAAAATAGTAAAAAAAAAAAAAAAATGTACTTACTTTTTTCCCAGCACAGAGACTCACTTGGTATTGTTGTCTGGTCCTCCTTCTGCGACGTCATCCGGCAGGCTTGAATTCATTGCCTACTCGTCCAATCCAATTCTTCTCTAAGAGAAGCATTGGGGATGAGAAGTGCATGCGCAGTAAGCGTGGCACTCGTCCAATCAAATGTTTTTCACAGTGAAACATTGAATCCAATGCTTAACAATGAGCAGCATTTGATTAATTTCGGCATTGTCATTGTCATAGATGTCGAACATCATATGACTGAGTTAAACTCGGACGTTGCAGCGGAAGCACATCTAGTTGCTGTCATGAAGGCGACCAGCCCTGCAACATTGCAACTTCTACAAAACAGTCATGTTTTACATTGCAATGACAAAAAAGGGTCACTGTACCCAGAGTAGTGTGCTTGTCACGTACATAGAGCAAAAAATATCACCTGTATAATGTGCTGGACTTCACATAAGAGAGCAAAGAGCCAAGCTGTATGATTGTAGCATAAATTTATAGTGGAGGAAGTCAGATGCAGAATGAGACTTTTTTCAGCAGTTCAGGAGCATTTGTGGAGGTATCGGGTCAGCTTGCTGTGCCAAGGTTGTAATTGGGGGCTCTGCATTTAAGTGTAGGAGGTGTCATTAGATCTAGTTGAGAGGAGAGGGTTGAGTTGTAGAAGGAGGTTGCAGAGCTTGGACAGGTGAGGTTTGAGATATAGAAAAGGAGATTTTGAACATCTGTGTTTGTATCAGTGTGTATCTGGAATGCATACCTTTGTGTGTGTCTATGAGTATGTACCTTCGTGTCTGCAAGTGTTTGTTTGATGTGGGGAGCTGCTCGTTGTGTTCATGTGGATTGCTTGTTGTCTTGCTGTACTGTGTTTATGTTTATTGGCTGTATGTTTTGTGTGTAGATGACTGTGTGTGTGGGGGGTGATTGTGTATGCGGAGACTGTAATTCTGTTTGCCTCTCTACACACTAAAACATTGAAATAAAATGAGAGAAGAGGTTATTCTTTTCGTTTGCGGACTATAAACTTAGCACAATGTATTGATCAATTTTTACTTCCTTTCAGCAGGCCCAGTTCACATACATTTTAACCCGTTATGGTTCTGAGCCACTGTTAAATGTTACAAAACAAACTCATAACCATATGTCATTGTAGGACGTTATGTCACTTTACGATGTTTCG